CTAAACAATGTTATTTACAGCTTAAGACATACCTGGACCCATACATTAAAAGAATGGCGTATACACATTTGACCTATACGTATTTTGGAGTTGATATGCTAAGGTAAGAATTAATGGTGTTATATTAATTTATTATAAAATCACATACACTTGCATTTTTTTCCGCAGAAACCTAATCGTGAGCTATAATGTTATCGTCAACTCACTGGCCTCTGCAAAAACCTATCTGCATCGGACCGTGACTAGTGTGTTTATTAAGCAGCATATGCCCGGCATTGTCCGAGTATGGGAGATATATTATTTTTCCAATTAAATGTCTATTTGCTAAACTTAGCTCTAAACATAACGCTAACAAGAACCAAACAAACCCAAAACATAAACACGATGGAAAACTTGACGCTAACACAAACGCAAGCACAAACACAAATGCAAACACAATCGAAAACATAAAAGCAATCAATAACGCAAAGAAAGCGGCTTCTAAACTGCTATTGATCAAAAATATTAATTAGTAAACAGTATTTCAATAGTATAAAAATAATAAAAGGTAGTATTTAAAATACTGTGTTTTACCTAACATATTGCATTTTATCAAACCATACCAATAAGATTTTTTCCAACATAAAAAAAAAAACTTTAAAGGTTTGTTTTTTCTGCTTTTTTTATTTTTCTGTAAGTCATCTTTCAATGTAAGTAATGAGTAGACCTATAAATTGACATCATTTGCATATTTTTTTGTAAAGGGTTTAAGTTTAATTTAATTTTTCTCCTGGCCTATTACATCTTTCAAAATGATATGTTATAAATAAACATTAGTCTGAAAGTGATCAATATTAAGTTTTCACATATAAATTAAGATTTTAATACAACCAATAAACACTTTGAAAATATAACACAACGGTAATCAAGTCAAGTTTCGGTATATGCATGTCATCCACGAATCCGCCCCATACTGGGTCACAGTGTCCATTGTAACTTCATGTATTAAATATATATATATATATATATATATATATATATATATATATATATATATATATATATATATATATATATATATATATATATATACATATGTATATCTGTATGTATGAATATATATATATACATATACATATACGTATATATATATATATATATATATATATATATATATATATATATATATATATATATATATATATATATATATATATATATATATATATATATATATATACTTTTTAACACTTAAATACCAGATCAAGTACAAACTTCACCATCGTAGAGTTTGAAATATACCTTTTTGATTCTGTACACGAATACGACAATGTGTTTGATGCTGAAATCCGGTTGGTAATAGCCAAGGCCTTGATCAACATGAGAGTAATAGATTCAAATTACAAAGTCGTATTAGCACAGTTAGAAAATGTCACGAATAATATGCGTGAGTAGTCGATTATATATTATTTTGTTTTGATTCTTTGTATTTATACTTTGATATAAATCATTGTCCAATATATATATATATATATATATATATTTAATTTACTTATATTATTGTCATGTATGACTCTGATAATGTGCAAACATATATACTATTGACCTACATAATTGACCTGATAATTAGAATTCGTTTTTCTTCTACATACAGTTTAATGAGAATTATTATTAAATTATCATTGAATTTTTAGGTAAATATAAGGTAAATGCTACAAAACTAATCCACAAGGTTCTATATATTTATTTTGCAGAAGCAGTTAACTGCATAACATGTGAGACGTACGAAATATGTGAGCCAGTAAACGGCAACATGATTGAATGGCACTGCAAGTGGGTAATTTTCTTTAGCAAAACATAACACAATAGACATAAATGTTTTTTTCAAACTATTTTGGATTGGTAATGTGATGAATTTACTATAACATTTTGCTAGTTAAGCGCACAAGTGTAGTAATTGGCCTACTTGTACACGGGATATAATATATTTGCTTACATATGTTTTGCCGAATCTGATCGCAATCAAACTTAGCCCAATTTCATACGTCTTGAAATAATGCAACACCAATCTCCCCCTCCCCTCAAAGAGAAAGGTATCACTATCATGTTATTATGCTAGCTATGGACACTCATAATTAGCAATTGAAAAAAAAAGTCCTTGATATTGAGTTTTTTTTTAATTATGTTCCGGGAAAAATCTGTTTATAATTTTCAGAAAACAATTATTTTTCTACAGTTTACCTTAGGTATATTAACAAATCTTGAAAAAAATTAACCGTTCGTAGGATACAAACAGTTTATAAAGTATGATAAAGTATGATATTTAAACTTTTTAAAATTTTGGGTCCGGTGATAACATTAAATTTTATTATTTTCACACACCGTTATTTACTGTTTTTACCGCAACCAAATTTAGAAAATTCAAAATAAATTAGCCTACACCTAAATTTTATGTTGAGTTTCTTTAACTTTGTTAGAATTTTATGAAAAATACTTTATTGGACTATAAAAGTATAATACTTCATGAACAGTTGAAATCTTATGAATACGTTAATTTTCATGATGGCCGCTGTTATCATAGTACCAAAATCAAAATACCTCCACTAAACTTTTTCTGGAAACACATACGTTGCCCCTTTGAAAAGCTATACAGAAATAATTGCTACCTGAGAAGTATTAAGAACCAATTTTGTTTCGGAGTCTACCCACTAAACGGTCTGAAGGATATCTAGTAAATGGACCCCTATTCAAATCTACTATTTTGATGATAATTATATTCTAATAATTTTTTTTCTATGCAGGCCATCTGAGCCACGTAAGTTTGGATAAGCTATTTTACATTAACCATGAATCATTACTTATACAATAATAAATACACTTTTTTTCTAACATTTAGATGTATGTTCAATTTGCCAGTTATAAAATATATCTGACACAAATATAATTATATGAAATATTGATATTCAGGTTTTTAAGATTTCTGGCCTAACTGTATTGGATTTAAATAAAAACTGTGTAAATATTTTATTTACTTACTAGTTGGCAGTTTAATAAATTATGGAATAACCATTACTTTTCACGCAACATTATACCGATTCCTACCAAATCACATGTATGTTTTCTATTTGGACTGTTCGTTGCTCAGTTTTTGTCACTGTTCGTGCAAAATCTTTGTTTATTTTGTAAAACTTCGTTTCATAAGTAGCACATTAAACTTTACAAACAGCTGAAGCTTAGCAAATGTTAAAATGCAATATTTAAAAGAAGATATATAACAATATCGCATCTGTAGGAAACCTGAACATATTTTTGTTAAGACTATAATCACTTCTTTTCCCAAACAATGAACTTTAACAATATATATATATATATATATATATATATATATATATATATATATATATATATATATATATATATATATATATAATATTTGTCCGTTCACTAGTTTCCTCGTGACTCCCAGAAACTGCTAGTACATCCCTTCCATTGACAGTTTCAAGTGCTTCTCAAGTGTAAAAGTATCTGAAATAAACCATAACCGATAATAGTGTAGCCTACTTTCAGTAAAAAAAACATACAAAAGTCCATTTGCTCCGGGAATTAATAAACATTTTTTTTAAAATTGATTTTAAAAATGACGTCACGCTTTTTTGGACGATTTTTACCTCCCCTTCTCCTCCGTCACACACCGTCATAAAAACCAGACCATCCCTCAATATGACTTCACACCTCAGCCTACAACACCGCCCCTTCTAAATTGCAGCTGGATTTTTCTTAAAACATCGATATTTTCCAAAATCAGGTCTAAACTCTGTAAACATAGAGTATTTTAATCAATTTCTATTACAATTTATTAAAACAGTTTTCTAAACCGCGAACTAACATCTAAAATTCGTTCCCAAAAAATTGTTTTTCTTATAATTCAAAAGTGTGATGTCACACCATCTAAATTGCCCCCCCCCCCCTCTTTCCTTCTCATTACACACCGTCACAAAATTAAAGGCCCTTTGTCCCCTCCCAGTGTGACGTCATTTATGGACGACCCATATTCAAAGAGTTATTATTTTGCTTTAACGTATCGTGTTTTCGATCTTGTCTATAAAAAAATTCAAATTTGACAAAAATAACTTTTCCGCCCATTTAACAGTTTAATTAGTGGAATGCTGTATTAATTAATTGTATACTTACTGAAAAAAATTGTATGGCTAAATTCATGTGTGTGTGTGTGTGTGTGTGTGTGTGTTTGTGTGTGTGTGTGTGTGTGTGTGTGTGTGTGACCAAGCAGCAGCAGACGTGTAACCTACTTTGTTAGGTCTTGTGCGACCCTTCTCACGGCACTCAAATGCGACAGGTGTCTAACCACCTGTCTGTAGGTATTCGCCCGCGGCTTAGGAGCTCCCGCCTCTAGGCCGCGGACACCTCATTTGGCACCGATCCACCTTATATAAAGAAACTCACTCTGATAAGCTGACAACACTTTGTTCCTTCATGATAATCACAGTTCAGATAATTCGGTGAATCTCAACAGACCTCCAATGTCAAAGGTCCACACACTGTATCGCTCCGTATCTAAATCTACTAACACATGTCTCTGCGTTCAATCCATTTTCTTACTTGCAATCTTTCTCTCACAGGGCTTTTCCTCGAAGCACACATCTTCTATTTCTACCTTTAAATCTTATATCTCATTCTCTACCCAAAAGTAACGCAGCTCATATATACACCCAGCTGCACATCCGGTGTTGTCAACAGAGTTTCTTCCAGGCATCTCTTCGGGGGGGGGGTCGAGTCTACCGCCTCGCCCCCCCCCCCGAACCAGATGAAATATATATAGTAAACAAAACATATACTTTTACTAGTGTCCGCTCCCCCCCCCCCCCGGAAAATGTAGACCGCCCCCCCCCCCCCGAAAATATCAAGTGCCCCCAACCTCCCCCCCCCCCGGAGAAAAATGACTGGTACAAACACTGGTTGTCAACAACGTCTAACAATGTTAAACTATTCTATTTCGGTACCACATATTGCATGGTTTCTACTATTAGCTTGTCCGTTTGTCTTTAAGTTACAAGTCAAATTCAATTTTAATTTTAGTCACCCCAGTTACGTGTTTATATCAGTTGTATAATAACTATAACTAACTCAGTTTAGTTTTGGCCATGACCTTGTCCTTGTTGACATACACTACTACGTTGTTTTTGTAACTACACTAGTTACTCACACACATACAAATACATATATATATATATATATATATATATATATATATATATATATATATATATATATATATAAGTTTCAAGTAACATCGTGAGTCATTCTGTAAAGTTTATTGGCTGGCCATAAAGACTATTGTAAAGTACAATGTAATAGATAGATAAAAAAAAAAACAACTATTGATATCTTTATACATTTAGAATATATGTTATAATTATCAGAGAAGAAGTTTATTTTGACAACTTTTATGAATGCATTTCAGGAGCGTATCCATACGGAGTTCTGTCAATGGATGAAACATTACCTAGAAACAGAGAATTCGCCTCAGCAAAAATTAACATAGAAGATTTTATACCTTATGAAAACACATTATTTCAACACATATGGGTAAGTTCGAAAAAAAAACTTTCAATTAAAATATAGTTTTTTTTTTAAATATTCGTTATAGTCTATTAGTGCTTTGAAGAATGATATTATAGCTCGGTAAATATTAACACCATTATGCAATTTTCAGATTTCTGTGAATGGATTGATAAGTTTTGGAGATGAGTATTCCAGTTTCACGCCTCAACGACTGCCAGTGTTAGATAAAAAAGGAAATCCTCGAACTCTGTTAGCTCCGTACTGGACAGACCTTGAGCTCAAAGATGGTGATGAGGGACAGGTTTATTATCATGTATGTTTTCTTTCAGTTTTCATACATTATTTTGAATTAAAAAACAAGATGTTCAACGTGTAATTAGTTATTAACTGAGATTATAGATTCATGCAGTTTATCTTAGATTAAAATAATAACTATTGTTATGATAATAAAAACTCTATCACCGTTTTTTTTTTAAATTACAAAATCCGGAATTGAACTCCACACATTACTTTTATTTTTTAAAATCCAAAATCACAAGAAAACTATAAAAGAAATGTGTGCAATTTTTTTCTCATTAAAATAGTTCGAATAAAGCAAAGTAAAACCATGGGTCTTGCTGCGTCAAAAAGGAAAACTGTTATTTTACTCGAGATTTAAAAAGAACAACATATAGTAATTAGAATATTTAGTTTTAGAAACATGTATGAATATCTTTCTGTAAATTACATATTTAAATAAACCGGGAGTGATCTTCCCTAAACTTTCTCGAATATTCTTATATAAAAAAACAGGGGATGGGAACTCGGGATATAGACATGAATTTTAATCCATTTTAAATACTTAAACTTTTTAAAATAGAATAAAATCTCGTAGAAAAAATAATTGCACACCAGTGAACGCCAAATAAAATGTGCATAATATTATTAGTACTTTATAAATAATTTACATTAGTTTTTGAGAAATCGGAAATAGCGTAATTAGTACTTTCGGTCAACGGAAATTACTCAAAATTTGACAAAAGGTAGAAAATTAGATCTTTTACTTACATGTGACATTTCATTTATCTATCAGAAATAGTACTCAAGTTATAGGCTTTTAAAAAATTCAAAGTAGAAAAAGTACCACTTCCGGTAATCGGAAATCGCTCAAAAGTTTATACGGATCTACGATTTTGATAAAATACTTATATATGAAATGTCATCAACCTAGTTGTAACGGTACTCAAGTTATCGTGTTTACAGACACACACACAGACACACACAGATATACACACAAACATACGGACAAGATTGCAAAATTATGTTTTTCCGTATCAGTCAGGTGTAAAACGTCCAGATTTGAAAAAATCTCGATTTTTTTTTTTTGCACAATTACAAGACTTCCTCTATACTTCGTATATACGAGAAAGTAAAAAATATAATAGGTTTGACGTAAGTCATTAATAAACACGTTAAATAATAAACTATTTATAGTTAAGCTACTGTCCATGTATAATTTTCAAATATGATAAAGTAATATATTTATCATTATGCTGAAGATGCCTTTACAAAATTCTTTAGGTTTACAAGTGCTGGCTAGAAACATCCTCTAAAGCATGTGAAAGGGCCAAGATCGACATTGTTAGATATGCTAACATTTCAACCTACACTGCGACCATTGTTATTGTAGTCACATGGGTTAAAGTGCCCGTCACAGGAAATACGAGAAACGAGGTACAGTTTTATGGACTTTATTTTCTAACTCATATTTTTTTCCATTTTATGCAACTAGATCGACATAGTGAATAGACCGAAATGGTTTGAAGTGAACAACCAATGTAGATTTTTAAAATTTTTGTCCTATAAAATAAACCTACACTGAATTCTACTCCAACTTTTAGTATTTGGATTTATTTATTTTAAAATAATATTGCCATTAAAGCTAGCACTATCACTTCTGGTAGAATGTTCTAAAATTTCTATATACTACAAATCACGACTTCAAAAACCACATAAATATTGCATTGTGCTCTGGGCTTTATCCAATTTAGCAGCAGCTGTGTCCAATTAGATATTAAAACTTGTGTGAGGTATGTTGACAGGAGAACAATTTGTTTTTCTTTTTTTTGTGCTAAGCGTTATATAAATTAAGAAACAGGGAATTAGGCCTCGTAGATAACAAGAGGTTTATTATATTTTTTTATATAAAAATGATACATTATTTAGTTTTTTAAAATCATAATAAAAAATTATAAAATTTCAATATTTGGGGATTATACTTAGTTTAATTGATAGCTGTTTAAGATTTAGTAATTCAATTTAATTTTTCTGGCTTCGTGTTGCAGTTATTTATTTTGTGTTATTTCAGTATTTGGTGTTTTTCGACTTCCTATAGAACTAAATTTCCAACCCTCAGTATCACAAAACATATATACACAAGTTTAACTTAACATACAGCATATACAAATAATCAATTTGTATATGCAACTATTAGCCAATATTAAATATGCTTGCTTAAAACTAAAACTAACACAACATTTCAAACCAACATTATTTCGCAATGTTTATAAGCTTTTCCATTTTTTTTTTCAGCGTGTGTCATTCCAGTGCGTTATTGCAACCGATGGCTACACAACCTATGCTATTTATCTATATATGCAAGGAGCTATGCAATTCAAGCCATTGTCTGCAAGGAATGTTGAGGTTGGGTGGGGAAAACAAAACTTCGATACATCCAGATTGTCGTATTATATGTTTGACAGAGTTCTGGGAAATACAGGCAGGTTAAAAATTATCTTCCTAAGTTAAAAAATGGGTCAGCGTGGTTGCAAACCTTTAGAGCAGGGGTCTCCAAACTTTTCAGTCCGAAGGCCGCATCAACTATCAAATTTCAGTTCGGGGGCCAGTTTCTTCCAGGCATGTCTTTGAATTTTCTGGGCAAAGTTCCTCAGCCAAAGTTCCGTGGACAAAGAGATCGACGCGGGCCGGATAAGAGGATCTCGCGGGCCGCATCCGGCCCGCGGGCCGTAGTTTGGAGACCCCTGCCGTAGAGTTTCGATTTTTAACCACCGGTAAGATAAGAATGGATTGCTGGGGAAACCAACCCATGTAGGAGAGAAAACTCCTAAATCATACAGCCCATTTGGATTACCAAATGTACTTTTCTTTTCAACAGTCTATGAGTAAGCTTACTAAGCTGGTGTCATGTTGTATAGTAATGCCTGTCCCTTGTTGTCATAAATTTGCACGAAGAGAGAGAGAGAGAGAGAGAGAGAGAGAGAGAGAGAGAGAGAGAGAGAGAGAGAGAGAGAGAGAGAGAGAACTGATACATGGGCAACACCTGGCTCTTCTAAACTTCTGTCCAGGCTTTGCGCCTTGATTTTCAAGACTACTAAGCCATTTAGCTTAGTTTAAATTTAAAAACTAGTTTATAAGGATTATTAAATGTTATAGTTTATGGTGTTATTATATTTGTTTTACTATTAGCAAAATAATACATATTGGAAAATATTTTTACATATTATGGGCATGTAGATTAAAGGCTAAAAAAATATACAAACTTGTAAAATGTGCTGTCTTTTTGGTTTAAATGCAAACAGTAAACATACAGATAGTGATAGCATTATTATGAATTAATATAACCATACTCTCTCGGTTCTAAATTGTCAGGAGCCCCTGGCCAATGGTTTATCAAAGTTGGAGAAAAAGACAACTATAAAATGATGTGTAGATCATGGTATCGATCAGCCTCTGTTGCTGAATTGATTGGTAAATGACATTAATTATTATATTTTTAAAAAATTTAAATATAATGAGCTATAAATAACGTTGCATAAGCAAATTATGGTTTTGCTTGGTAAGCAAACAAGTGTTTAGTGTATTTGAATCATACTTTTTGTTATCTGTTACACATGAATCAGACATTATTATGATATTTGATATGACAATAAAGTTGTATTCTCTAAAGGCGCAACCTTAAATGGCAGATAACTAAGCCTGCTAAAGATATATATTTTTTTAAAAAGTTGTATTTTCTTGAAAGATAAAGAGTTCTGCAATAAACACATGATAATTATTTAAAAGTTCTAGTATGTGTAGAGACAAGCAACAACAAATGTATGAATTTTTTTTTTAAATGTGCATCTATATACTTCTTTTTATTTGTAAACATTTGTATATATTTTTCTCTATGCACTTTCTCTCTTTCTATATATATTTTTATTTTAGCCTATATATATATATATATATATATATATATATATATATATATATATATATATAGCCTATATTTGTATATTAATATTTAGCCTATATATATATATTATTAATTAAAATTTGAGAACTAAATTATCAAAAGAGATTTTAAATTTACTTACATTTTTAATACCAATTTTTTAAATTAAAAAACATTTTTAGTCTGTTACTTTTTCACATTTTCTAGCTATCAATAATAAGAATATAGAAATGCCAGCATGTCCATGTAATGAATTGGTGGCCTACAATAGTCCACTTTGGGTGCAAACCACACATGTCCAGAATCAAAGTCACTGTTTTGATTTACTGCCATATTATGGTGAATTTGGAAGGGTGAGAAATTCTTATAGTATGTGTTTATGTTTAAATATATATATATATATATATATATATATATATATATATATATATATATATATATATATATATATATATATATATATATATATATATATATATATATATATATATATATATATATATATATATATATATATAAGCCATATATATAGCATCAAATTACATTTTTAGTAATTTGATAAAATTAAGATTAATACTATTAAATTAAAAATGTTAAGTATGCAATTTATTGACTTTTTTTACAGTTTAATGTTGATACCGTTTTGAATCAATCTTCTTTCTAATATGCCAACTGCTTATTATGGTCTAAAAGGTTTTGAAAGAGTAAATTAAAATAGAGAACAATGTTTTACATACTCCTGGACCAGCAATTAATAATATGATTACAAGTTTAATAGTTTAGTATCATAGTGAAAGCGCATCAGTTATTGTTTACTTTTGAAACTGAGAAAGTAACTGATAAACTAGTCTTTATAAACTTCTGGATATCTATTGGTTTGAAACGTGTTTTTAATTATTAGAAATTTAGATTTTATCAGAGTCAAAATTAGTATAGTTTTAATTCCTTAGGATTGAAACACTTAAAACAGCTTAAGAATATTACAAGTTTTCTCCTTACTATCTGTAACAGTACTTAATATAAATAATAAGATTACTTTAATTAATTACTGGCAGTAGTATTGTTGCATTTAAAATATATTTTTAAAGTCTCAGATGCTGACATTTAAACTTTTGCTTTTAGCGATGCTGCTATCGTATGGATGGGAGTTTCAGTCTTGAAACCAGAAAGCCACAAGCAGGCAGCCTTCAACGCAACAATGCTTTCAATTCTTTAATACACAATTCTAGAGATCACCAACTGAATGATATTGAACCAAAAAATTGGTGCTGCTATCAATCTGATTTATGTGAACTATACTATGAATTAAGACCAACTGTACAATGTATTGCAAGTAGTTGGGTGAGGGGTAAGTTGTTAAATATAACTTTATGACTTAAATAAGATATTTATCTAACATTGAAATCTTACTTATATGAGTATCATCTAGTAAAAATTTGTATTTTTATATTAAAAAATACATTATTTTATATAGGCCCTAATTGTTATATGCTTTAAAATCTTCAAAATTTTTCTCCAAGGATTTTTGTTTGGTGACCCTCATATTTTTACTTTCGATGAGCGATTTTATATTTTTAATGGCCTTGGAGAATATAAAATATTGGAGATAGATGGCATTGCAAAGGACAGAACTGACATCAATTTTATGATGCAGGTAAATTAATTAACTAACTACAGTTCTAATAAAGTTAAGTACCTATTCCTTACAGATTTTTTTGAAAATATAATTGTAATACAAATCATTTACAAAGTTCATTACCTCCTAATATTTTTTTTTTAAATATAAAAAGGGTCGGACTTGCAGTGCATTAAGCAAAAATGGAACAAAAGCAAGAGCTGCAGTTTGGTGTGCTTTTGCTTTTAAAAATGGAGATGATATGATATTAACAGTACAAATAAGTCCTGGGGATAGAAGTATGTTTTTTATTGTACATGATCTTTAATTATTTTATAACAATGCGTCAGTTTTCATCTTAATTTCACTTTTAGAAATGTGATCTTGTGAACAAAAAAATTTATTGCAATTATTGACACAAAAATAGGTTAAATCTATAAATCCTTGCTTGGAGTAAGAAAAAAACACAAAAAGTTACCAGATTAATTAATATTAACATCAAAATGCTTCCACTCTTTTCTAATTCTTAAAATCTATTAAAAAAGATTAAGTTTGTATATAAAGAACACAATATTTTCTTATCAAAATTTATAAAAGTACTAACTATTTCAGTGATGGTTATTTATGCAAATAATAGAGATTACTCTGCACCATTTAAAAATGAGCCAGAATTCTTTGCTGTTGAAAAGGGAATGGTCATCAGACAACAAAATGGATCCTTGAAGGTTTCATTTTCTGAAAGTAAGTTTTGACAATTTAGTAAATACTTTAAAATACCTTTTATAGATATATTTAATACTGTTTTTAATATCTTATATTTATATCCTATCAAATGTGTTAAAAATAATGCAATTTTTAAATCTCCAGGTGTTGGAGTCACAATTACCCTATCATATGGTTTTCTTGAAGCTTATGTAAGCTTAGATAAGAAATATCAGAATATGACACGAGGGCTCTTAGGCAATTTCAATTATATCAAGACAGATGATTTTATATTTACTAATGGGACTACACTCACAGATAAATCGTCTGAAAGACAACTTCTTCATTTTGTACAGAGCTGTGAGAAATTTTTGAAAATCAGTTTAAAAAAATTAAATTATTATACATTGTATTTTGTTATTTAATTTAACAAATCAAATTATATAGAACATTTGTAATTTTGTTTCTATTTTTATACTGAAATTGCTATTTACTTTTTCTTTGCAGGGGCAGTAACTCAGTCTGAAAGCTTATTTCCATATGCTTATGGGCAAAGCACATCAACATTTTCCTTTACAAATTTCACCCCTTTATTTTATGATGAGCTTAGTTATGCAATAACCAATTCTTCCAGTACATTTTGTAATGGAATGTTTCAAATACCTTGTATTTATGATTACATTGCTACTCAAAATGAAAGTTTAGCAAAACATTCACTAGAAGTAGCAGATCAGTTCATAATGGAGAATACCAATATGGGTAAGAGTTTTCTATAACTTTTTATTTAACAATTATAGAATGATGTAGTTAACAATATAGCACTACAGCAGTGACAGTTGGCTATTGTGCATCAATCTAGAAATATTCCTTAAAGTTTACTTTGGGGGCAGTGTGGCTTAGTGCAAGCTGATCATTTAAATTCTTTTAAGTTTCATACTTGACTTTGACATACTAAAATGATTTGTTTTTGATGCTTTTATCTTCTAGAAAGTAAATACTGTTTTAACTACTTAAAATTATGCTTAATGAAATTCATTTCTTTTGTCTACAGCAAACCAAGCACCATTTATTAAGCTAAATCAAACAAACTTTGAAATATATATAAATACTCCTTTTTTCGTCAATGTTAGTGGCTTTGATATTGATGGGAACATTACACACTTCGTAGTATTAACAAATGTAAATTACACTGAAAAGGCAAAAATTCAAGTTACTACAACACATAATGCAACAACTGAATTTATATTTAAGGTTACAGATTCTATTGTAGTAACAATTGGGTAAGTAGGACTACTTCATTTACATTTTGTCTGTCTGTTTGTCTTTTATGCATTACTACACTTTTAATCTGAATGCCATGAAACTTTGTGGAGTTTTTGAGAATACTCCTGAGCAGATTTATGTGGTAAGATTTTGCGCAGTCAGATTGTTCTAGGCATATTCTCACCCGTATTCAAGTGACCCTGTGCACCCCAGGCTCCCACTTGAACTTTATGGTACCTACATTTGTTTTAAGAGAGCCATACAATCGAAACACTGTGGGCCAATATATTTGATAACTAAACAGAACATGGAAGTGCAGCTGATGCCATGTGGTACATGAGGAAACCAAGTGACTCCCATGACATGTGAAGAATAGATTTTGCCAGATTTTTACTAATTTTCAGATGGATGAGTTTGCTTTTTTGGAAAACTGTCTATGAAAAACTAAAAGAAGTAACATTTTAGGGTCAAATTTAAACATTTCCTTTTTTGCTTTCCAAGGTCTTCTGTTTGTATGCTGTTTTGTAGTTTTATAAATAGAATTACCATTAACAAATGTGAGGGTGTATGAATAATAGTTTGGTTTTTCCTGAAAGTTTTGTCAGGCAATACTATTCCTTAAAGTTTTGTGCAAAAGTTACACACTTTTATATAAAATATATTCATATATAGATATATAGGCCTATATGTATATATATATATATATATATATATATATATATATATATATATATATATATATATATATATATATATATATATTCATTTACAAATGTAGCAATTAATTGTTTTCCTCAAATTGATAGAGTAAGCAAAATTATGATACATTTTCTCCCACAGAATAACAGCTGTTGATGATGAAAACTTGCAGTCAGAAGTTATACCATTGTCTCTTACTCTCTGTACTGGTTGCAGTAATCAAGGATCATGTAACTTTTCTGTTACCAGACCTACCACATCTCCTTATTTTACCTATGCAACCTGCAACTGTAACTCTAGCCATAGAGGCATGTTGATAATTTAATATAGAATTTTTTTAAAAAAAGTTTTCCTACATTTTAAAAGTTTAAAGCTAGAGCATTTAAAATATATTGAAGTTGTATAGTTTGGCAGTTGTTTTACTTTGATTTATATTAAATAGAAGTAAGTTGTATAGTTTGGAATTAGTTTTACTTTGATTTATATTAAATAGAAGTTTAATACAATTTCTGCATAAGCCTAAATAACATTCTTTCTTTATAACATTTTTACAGCTAAATGTATAAGTTTGAATTATATTATGCGATAATCTGTTTGCAAAATTTAAGTTTAAAGTAAACAGATCTGTCTGTGTACACCACCACAACTTTTTTTTGGTATAATTCTTAATAGGAGTTGATTGTGAAGAAATTATTGATGGCTGTGCTGATAAGCTCTGCCCATTAGGTTGTACAAATCTTTCAAACAATATAAATCAGGCTACTGGAGTATTTTATAACTGTGAAAATTGCCCTGTTGGTTTTATTCTTAGCATTTCTAAAACCAAGTGTGAAGGTATGATTTTTCCATATTTTATTTTTTTTAATATTATTGGGTATGATGTAAACTCAGTGTGTTTACTACATGCATTTGAATAATCAATAGTAACATTTTAAGCAAATTAAATGTACACTATAGCATTAAATATGGTAGGTACTTAGAGCTACACAGTGAAAATGTGGAATGCATTTCAATCTAGACAAAAGAAAACTATAACTCTTGAAATAAGAGTATTACTATAATTTTTCTGCTTTCTTTTTTAAATTATTTTTAAAAAAAAATTATAACTGTAAAAACATTTACCGAACAAAGTACAGTAGACACTATTTTTAAAAACAAGTTGTTAGCTATGTAAAACCAATAAATAAAGAATTATACATGTAATTTAGCAACATTACTTATGCACTGTATATTAAGACTATTATTAAATATATTGTATTAACAGACTTTGATGAATGTCAAACTTTACCATGTGATTCTCATGCTGACTGTGAAAATACTTATGGAAGTTTTTTGTGTCACTGTCAGAGTGGTTACCAAACTGTAAACAACAGTTGTGTGGGCAAGTAGTTTTTCTATTTCTAAAATCAAAATAGAATAAGCAAAATATGAAGAAATTGTTAAAATTCATAAAGAATCCATACTACACATTTGTCATTTTAACATATAATATACCATTTATTAATATTTAGAGTAAAATACCTTTGTTATCATTTTTTAAAGAATTAAATATTAAGATGTAATAATCTGGAATATTTTAAAATATAGTATTTCATATTGTTTTTTTTGTATAATATGCATTGTTAAAATATCTTTGATGTTTAGACATTGATGAGTGTGCTGAAAAACTAGATAACTGTGATCAGTTATGTACCAACACTCCAGGAAGTTTTAATTGTTCTTGTTATCCTGGATTTAATAGCTCCAAAAATACATGTATTAAAACAGAAACAGGTAAACATTATTTTTTAAAATTAATTTAAATCTTAACATTGATACTATTCATTTATGAAGATTTTAAACAAGAGACAAATAATTAAATATTTTAATCTTCACTTTTTTATTTTTTATTTAAAGATACAAATCAGTGTAAATCTGTAAACGCAACATGCAATTATGGCTGCAACAATGACACTCAAGGCTGTTTTTGTAAACATGGATTTATTCTGAAAGAAGATGGCATTAATTGTATAGGTAATTCAGTATTAATAATAATATAATTAGAATCAGGGTTGATGTCGTTCTACTTTTTATTTTGTAACATATTCATTATTATGAGCTTTATACATAACAAAATTATATTTATTATATTGTACACAGTTTTATACATTTTTAAAGTATTCATTTTGAAAAACGTATGTTGAGGTTACTAATATATAATAATATACTTACATTTTTATTCATTATCTCTTTATGTATGTGCAGATGTTGATGAATGTAAGAACAATAGTTGCTCACAAAACTGCAGTAATAGTGAAGGGAGCTTTACTTGTAGCTGTAAGTCTGGTTACAAGATAAACAGCAAACATGCTCACAAGTGTGATGGTAAGTTTGAAAATTTTTTTCATAAGGTCTTTCTCTTAATAAAATCTCAACAAACTTTTTATTCAATATTGTTTCTAATGATAAATAAACATAATTATAACAATCTAAACTGAAATTAAGGTTTTTTAATACATTGCTAACTATAAATTTATTTTAAAAACTAAACCCATTTTTGTCTGTTCTAGCTGCACTTTATTTTTCTATAGCTTGAACCCATACAAATTCCTATGTCCCATCTCCTATTATAAACCAGTGCATGTCCTAAAACAAATTGAAATATTTCTTTGTCATTTTTTTTATTCTAATAGAATGTCCTGATAATATGTATGGGTTAAACTGTGCCTCACAATGTGAATGTAAGGGCCATGCTCAACGATGTGACAGTATCAAGGGCTGTATCTGCCAAGACAATTGGAAGGGAACAAACTGTGACATTGATGTTGATGAGTGTGTAGTAAAACCAAATATTTGTCCACCAGATCATCACTGTAAAAATACATTGGGATCCTACAGATGTGACTGTCCTACAGGATTTGAAGAAGATATAAACAGAACTTGCAACAGTAAGTATTATTTGTTAAGAATGATTGGCAGTTTTTAGCTCAATAAATTGATGTGTATGTTTCAACAATAATTGTTTACTACTATAAATTGTAGGTGAACATTATACTTTTGAGGTCTGTAAAATATAGCGTAATTGCCATAACTGAGGTTTTTATTAAGTGACTATAGGATTGTTGTTTAACTTGGTTCATAATAGATAACGGAACTCAAATGGCTACCAGACAAGATATTACAAATTTAATGTAGTTTGGCATTGATTTGGATAGCCATTTGACACCATTATCTGGCCAGTCAAATTAAATTAAATGTACAGTAAACATCACATCAAAATATTAATGTCTATAACAACAAACATATATTTAAGTTAAAACAGAGATACTTATTACCAAAAAAAAAATTGTGTTAGTAGTTTTAACATTTGATTTTATTTATTATTAAATTGGGAGTGTCAATTTATTTATTCTATATAAAATGTCATCAGCATTAAATATTTTCATTAAATTAACTTTTAAAAATATGCTAGTTACTTCAAATTCATTGATAATTAATTATTTCTAATTTCATTTTTTAACACTACTGACTAGAATAGTTTATTATATATTATTTAAATTTTGCATAATCATTTGTTTTTCAGACATCAATGAATGCAACAATATTCTGTTAAATAATTGCTCCCAAAACTGCATTGATGCACCAGGCTCTTTCATTTGTGAATGCTTCAGTGGTTTTACAAAACTTTCTAATGGGACTTGCTTAGGTAATATAAAAAAACATTGATTTTAAATCGAAGCCCACATTGTAAATCTAGCTATAGTTAAAACACTATAAAATATAAACAAAAACATTTAAAGCTATAATAAGTCTAAATAAAAAATAACTTCTGAAAAATTGTATACATCGCATTGAAAGTAAATGTTTTCAATCTATTAATTAAGAATCTACAATATTTCTACAGATATAGATGAATGTCATAATGGCCAATCTGGCTGTGAGCAGATCTGTTTGAATGTTCCAGGGAGTAGCTACTGTGGTTGTTATCCAGGTTATAGATTAAAGGATGACAGAAAGACATGTGAAAAAGATGGTAATTTTAAAATATAATAAACAAATACTTAGTCAAAAAAATCAGCATGTGCAGAAACAATTGTATTTATTTTTAAAAAATTGCTTTAAAAACACTTAAAATAGAAATATTTTTGAAAAAAAAATATGTACTCATTAATTTACTTACAGATTATTAAGATAATATTTTAATGTGTGCATCAGCAATAAAAAACACTGTTTTAACTTTATAAACTTTTAAAGGAGAAATTACATTTTAATTTTAGTATGCGATAACTTGTGACCCAACAATCTTATTTTTTCAGCTGTGGATCCTTGCGTCAATTTTTACCTTAACTGCAGCCAAGGCTGTACAGGTGTAAATGGAACACCTCAATGTTTCTGTCATACTGGCTTCACTCTTAGCACTAATAACTTTGATTGTATTGGTGAGTTTGTACATTATTTAAAATTGACAGCTTTTTAACTATATTTATAACAATTGGAGATTTTAAAGAATTAAATAATAAAATATTAATAGGTTTTAGTAACCCTTTTTTATTAACGTTAGTAAAACATTTCTCTGCCTCAACTTGAAATAATTTGAAATTTGTATCAAAAACAACAAAAAGAATAATCATTTTATTGTTATAATGAAATTTACGCATTATTTAAAGAATAAAAATAACTACAAACAACATTTTCCTAGAAAATATCCATCCATTCTGTGTAAATTAAAAATAAATCACTACACAAATTTAACGTGTTTTTTTTTAGATGTAAATGAATGCAAATCAGAAAATAACAAGTGTGATGGAAACTGTGTCAATACTATGGGCTCCTACAACTGCTCATGCCCTGTAGGCTATAAACTGCAAAATGATAAATTAAGCTGTCGAGGTAAAATAACTTACGTTTAAATGAGAAGTAATTTATGACTGCATTGTGTTTGCTCTCTTTACATGTACTAATCATAGCAGCACAATTATCATAAATGCAGATACCGCATGTTTCCAGCTTTTGCTATTTAAGATTGTAAATATTTTTTCTTACACTGCTATGGTTAATAGTTCTATTTTTATTTTGTCACTCTTATTTATTTGTAATACATTTTTGTTTCTGAAAATATTATATTTAAAGCGATAATATAGTCTAGTATAAGTTTATAATTGTCTATAATTTAAGTAATTTTAGTTGCAATTTATGTTTTCTGAAAAAACATTTTTGGAATGTTTATTTTCATCTAGCATGTGATGCTTATCACTGGGGAGATAACTGTGCAACTACATGTAACTGCAGCATGCAGGGCACATCAAGTTGTGATGCTGAAATTGGATGTCAATGTAAAACAGGCTGGGCTGGGACATGGTGTGAGATTGATCAAGATGAATGTTCTAGTGAATTTTTTCCTTGTCTGCCATTGTCTTCATGTATTAACACACCTGGATCATTTGAATGTCAGTGTAAAGAAGGATATATTGACTTAACTAACCATACATGTACAGGTAATGTGAACATCCTTTTTAACTTTGTATTTCTTTTAAAGGCACATACACATTATTATCAATCACTAATTCTTGAACGTATTTTAATACACCATTTAAGTAAAATTATTAAAATATTTAACCATTTAATTATATTTTAATGAAAAATGCTTCTAAAAAAAATTATTTTTGTTTTGTTTATTAAAGATAAAAACACAATTTCTAAGCAATTTAAACACAAATAACTCCCTTGAAATGGTAATAATAATGACTTATTATTAAACTAATTATTCATTCAAGTGTACCGATAGAGTCATAGAAATCTACATTGTTACCATGTGTTTTCAGAATGTTATTATGGAACTAACGGGTACAGTTGTAATCAAAATTGCTCATGTAATGTAACAAAGGGTATTTGCTTTGCTGAGAATGGAACATGTGAGTGTCTAAAGGGATGGAATGATACAGACTGTAATACTGATATAAATGAATGTAACTACAAAAACAATCCATGTCAGAACAATTCAAACTGTGTTAACACATTGGGATCATATAGATGTGTCTGTGATAAAGGCTTCTTTAATTCAAACCATGGTTGCACTTGTAAGTATTTTATATTTTTATTTATTTATTGTTTATTTTATTTTTTATTTTGCTGAAATCATATTTTAACATTTGAACCAATTATTAAAAAAAATAATGGCGGTTTTGAGTACACACTAATTTAAAAACTACCTGAAAAACATAAAGAGTTAATGTTTTGTAAATTAAATTTGAAAATGAATGTTTTAAAAATTAATTTTAATTACTTTACAACATTTGTTTTAGCTTGTAGTAAAATGAAATTTGGTCGAGACTGCATTGAGACATGTAATTGTGTTCAGCTTCACACTGAGAAATGCAATAATATTAATGGATCCTGTACATGTAAGCCCGGCTGGACTGGAGTTCATTGTGAGACAGATATTGATGAATGTTTAAACACTAGCTACTGTCCAGATGCTCATGACCATTGTTTTAATGTAAATGGATCGGCTGAATGTAGATGTGATGAAGGATATGGAAAATCAATTGGCCCACTTTGTGAAGGTGAGATAAGTAATTTTATAATTGTTATTTATGTTACACATCAACTTATGCTTAAGTTAATATTTCTTTTCACACTTTAGTTAATACTTTTAGGAAGTTTAAATTTTTTTGATCAAACTAAAATTACATCTTAATTCACTGTTTAATTTACACATCAGTCACATTTTAATTGAAATAAAACCCACTCATTTGACATATGACAAATCAGCCGACAAATGTTTAATTTCATCTAACTATAGTAAATCAAATTTAACTTTAGTTGATTAACTCAATAATTATATTCAAACCAACCTGTGATTACAATATTTATTGTAAGCATTTTACACTTACAGATATAGATGAGTGCCTTGATCCATCTTACCAGTGTGACTTGAAGACTACGACATGTAACAATGCAGAAGGATCATATGAATGTATTTGTAAACCTGGACATTTAACAAAAACAAATGACAAATTTGCTTGTACAGGTGACTTGTTATATCAGCTGATAATTTGCTTTTTGTACTTTTTAGAAAGCAGGTAGGCATAGCTGAATTCTAGAGAACTTAAACATCAGGATTCCCTGTTTATGTCTAAGACACATGGGGCAAATAAAGTAGAGTTCATCTGTTTCAGTGACCTCTTTATTTTCCCTAATGAGAGTTAGGTACCTATCAGAACTGGGTGAACTCAGGGACATTCTACTGAGTTGAACCTGGATTTGAACTCAAGACTTTTGGGTTAGCAGTCTTTAAGTGCTCTACTTCTTGGCAATGACATCCCATAAAGGAATCAATCAAAGACACCAAACTCAGCTCAGTTCTAGGGCTTGAGTTAGTAGGCATTCCTGAGTGTACACAGCTCTTGAGAGTACTTGAGTCAAGTTGAAAGTAAATGTGGCTATACATGTGCAGATCGTACAACTCCACACTTTGCTGCTATTAAAATTCAGATACCATCAACCCTAAAAAAGAACTACATCATTTTGAGAAAAGCTCTTACACTACTAAAACTATTATATGAATATAATAATTTAAATATTAAATTATTCTATAAACAATAATAGTATTTGTCTAAAATTATAAGCTTTCTTTTTGTAATTATCTTACAAGATGTCTAAATACATTTTTTAACATCTAAACTACAAATTTATATAATCAACTGATTCAACGAATGGTGTTTCCATACAGTGAACTACATTTCATTCCCTTTGACTGTTCAACTTCAGTACCCCAAAGAGAAAATAAACCCATTCTTGTTTATTTCAACGACGACAGAATCAAAAGTATTATCAAGTAAAATTGCAGATAGTGTAAGTTTTATTTATACAAAACATTTATAGACTAGAAAGTTAATAAGGTTTAACATTAAGCTTTATTTAAATAGTCTATTTAAGTTAAGTTTGAATAAAATAATCTTTTAAGCTATTATAACTTCAAATATCTCTAAGCTCTTGCTATATTTATGGGTTACAATATATTTATCAGAATTAGTAGCAATTTTGTTGCAATTTTGTGAATCTTTCAAAAGGCATATAATCAATGTTAAAATATAAATTATTTATTTTTGGGTTTAACAGCCTAAAATGATCTATACACATTTATTTCAGTTAACTAAATTTGGTAAAGAAAAACTTGGGCAAGCTATTTTGCCTTTCATTATAAATAAACTTGTGTAAGTATTACACAAAATTTGTTTTTGTGGTGTAAATACTGTAACATTATATCTTCATTAAAATAAAATATTGTTTTCATTTATAATGTTGACTTATGCCAATATATTATGATAAGTTAAAATGCTATTTTTTAAGACAACTTATACCTGTTAAAAATTACTTTTTTCTAAAGAAATGGATCCGTTATTGCCTATACAGAACTACAGGTTGATCAATTGTATACTAATAGTGACTCAGACCCTGCTTCAACGTTTGCTTATGAACTAAACAAAGCAGGAAATTTGACTATTGGTTCTGAAGTAATTGAAGTACTGGATGTTTCTGTGTGTAACACTTCATGTAAGTCAATAAAAAATATTATAATTTATTTTTCTCATGCATTTCAATAAACTCAAGTATATAACTTAATTGAAACACATTTCATTATAAAACAGTAACCTTTTAAAACCACCTTATTGAGAGTAATTTGTATTGGTTTAGTGTCTGAGCATAAGAATAGTAAAAATAAATTTTATTGCACTCATTTTAATAAAAAAAACTTTGATTTAATAAATTAGGTATTCATGACCATTTTTTTTTTAAACCCAAAAAAATACAAATGTTACAATAAATTAAGATAACGTTTTACAGCTAATGCACATACATAATTGTTTGTTATTAGTGAAAAAGCTACCAAGTTCATGTGAAGTGTACTCTGTCTTGAAGAACTGTTCATCTAGTCCATCATACAAAGAGAACATAGTACCATCATGTAAAATCATAGGTAATTCATTTAAAATAAATGTAAACATTTATCCAGTATTTATTATGGATTTGCAAAAGAAAAAGGTGAACTCTACTTTATGTACCCATGTATATCTCTTTCTGTTAATATTGCTACTTTATGTACCCCATTGATCCCAGTTTGAAAGGATAACTTTACTTATACTACTAATATAGGCTATAAGTAGGAAAATACTGTATAATTATGATTGTCTTGGTAATACTCATTATTGCAAAATAAAAACTCAAATATTTTAAAATGCAGAAAACAATACTGCATTAACAATTGGACTGTCTGTTGGACTTAGCCTGTTGGTCATCATCACAATAGCTATTGTGGTGCTTGTTATCTTGCACTGCAGAAATAGAAGACAAAAACATGATAAAGAGGAATATATTGAAATTAATCCGTAAGTCTTAGAACTGAATGTGTCATAATAACTTCACTGTAAAAAATTAAGTCAAGATATGATATTTTGATTATATTTAAAAAAAATATTTATCAAAGAGCTCAGTCAACACATGACTTGTAGTGATTATGAAAAGGATTTAATGTTTATCTGCAACGATTGTATAATAATAACATCGGTCTATAACTTTGTGATAATAATGCTGTGATCAAATATATCTTTATAATGTCTGTCATGAAAGCACATTCAAGATGAAGTGCTCTAATTTTTGTCTTAAATATTTTTCTTAGACAGCTACCATCCCCATTACCAGATGATGCTTTTTACAAAACAACTGAGGGTGAACATGATTATAATAAACCTGAGAAGGAAGATACAGATCCTGATGAACAATATCAAATGATATCAACCACATCAGTGGAACATGGAGCTAATTTAACTTACAAAAACCTTGATGTCAATCCTTATGATGAAATAGTCAAAGATGCAGTCAATAAAACAGCTGCATTTAGAGAAAGAGCTATTAGTTCAAACAATGAAATTGCTCCCAAGAAGTTGAATAATAAACCAGCTGAAGATTCAGATACAACCAACAGTACATACAATGAAATACAGAATAATCAAAATAGTGTAAATGATATGAATTCAGACATAAACAACACTCCATACAATGAAATCTCCATCAATCACGACCATGAAGTTGCCAATAGCCTAGAAGAGGATAACAGTCCTTATAATGAAATTAATCCTGACGAAGATAAAGGTCACAATCCATACCATCAATTAAATGAATCTGGAACAAATGACTTGGACAAGGAACATGTGAGTAGTACAAATTTGGAAATATACATTTTTTAAAGTAGGATCACAATGACTGGTTCAGATTAAATTAGAACTTTTTAAAAAAAAATAAATGTTCAATGTTTAATCTTTAGCTATACTTCAATGACAAGTTGTTTTTTTTTTCATTTTTCCCCCACAGGTTTATGAAAAGATCCATAAGTGAACAGTTGAATCTAATCTAGGCTTAACCACATTAGTAATCCTTAGTTTGATATAATAAACAATATTTGTTTGTAAATCATGTTCCCTTTTTCATTCTAACATTAAAATTTAAATGGAGATTGTTTCCAATACCATTATATGAATATGTTACCAGAATGTATAAAACCCCAGCATGTATAAAATATCTTGGCAATTTAGCTATTCCTGTTGTTCTTTGAATCACAGAATGAAAGTCCCTGATTTTCATAAGATGGGTGAGTCAAAGTCTTTCAATCCAGTGGTCAGTTTTCTAATTTGATGTTTGGCTTAGCTCTTTCAAGCATAATTATATTCTACACTCTGCCTGTGGTTGTTTAGGTAAATGTATGACCCATTTCCTAAATGGAAATATTTCATTATTCTTGTTTTTTTTAAAGCAGTATTAAACCAATTTACTCAAGGTGTTCAAATGAGTTTGAATTTAAATTCATGTTTGAGTTATGTTTGCCATTGTAGTTTGCTACAAGTTAAATTATGCATTTGATTGTCACTTTAACTTCTCATGTCCAAAAGTATAAATAGTTCACAATGGTTTAGTCTTTTATATGGTGCCTTTTTAACATGATTTAATTATAGAAAATAGATATTGGCTAATCCTTTTGTTGGAATTACTAAATGCTTCATTCTAGAACTGTCTTGTGACTCGATTTCTTGTTCTGTGTGAGGTGAGAGAACATTTGTAAACCTACATTGTCAAGCCAACATATTAAAAGAAAACTCACATTAAATATATATTCATAACTTTTAGCATATGCCTGGTTATTTTTTTTTCTCCTTTTATTTATCGCAATATAATCAGTATATTCAACTAATGTCATGTTGTATTCAATATTTTGTGTTTTTTAAAATTAAAATGCACATAAAGATTTTATGAAAATTCCCAAGGTACTTGTTCAATGTTGGAAACAAAACCACTTTCTAATTATATAAGATTTAATTAACTGAACTAAAAAATAAAGATATATCAGACATATACTATTAACATTTTTACTTATTAAGTGTGTACTATTTAGCCTAGTAGTATAAATGGAAATTTTTTTTTTTAATTTCCCTCTTTCTTTGCATAAATTAACTTCCAGTATCATTCTACAAATCTTGAAGCTAGTGTAACTTAAGTAACAAAATTGACTGGTGTATTTACCTGATAAACACAACAAATTAGTAGACTATTTATTTAGTGGCAGAAATCTTAGATGAAAATATGATTGTCTTGCCAGTATCAGCAAAAATATTAATTTGCATTAGTTTGTATCAACATGAAAATAATTGTGCATAAACCAATAGATTAAATTATCTTTACACTTATAATATGTAGTGAAGGGGGATGAATGGGGTTGAATGTTGTTGTTACTTGGTACCCTATCCCGTTCGGCGTTATTCAGTTCTCGTGCTGTGTGTTGTAATAGTCCGGTTTGTACCAGTTTATGAAAGGGTATATAAGGTGTATGAAAACGTGTGTGATGGCCTCAGTTTCGTCCAGATCTCCAAGGTTAGTACCGGTTAGGTTTATACTAGTTTTTTAGCCACTGTATCTTAGTTTACTAGCTTGTGTATTTTGTGTTTAAACTAGACTGTGTGGAAATAGTGTATATACTATTAAATTCTTTTAGTTTTCAACGAGCCTGTGTTTCATTCAGTCTTGTTTTGTAACCGTTTGTGGTTGTTTGTCTTATATGTTGCGCTACGCATCGGATCACCCGAAAGGTGTGTCCGTGTGTTCACAAGATAATATATTACGTTTGTTTTGCACAAAAATGTTGTCATTTATATTGAATTTATAAGTGAGAGTGTAAGATTGTGCTTGATATAATTACATAATTGTGGTTTGATTAAAACTTTAATACCAGATGTGTAATATAGAACAGAGATGTAATTATATACAAATAAATATATTCTAACAACATTCTATTATGTACTTAAATAATTCTGGTACATTATTTTTCCATACATTATTTTTTTAGTTAGAGATCAGAAATTCATAATTTTCCTCAATATTGAAAAGGAAACGCCAGTGCAATTAATATTTCAAATGCAATGATAGCAGCAGTCTGAGCACCAATATATTCTGAATTTTTTATGCTTGTTATCATGAGACTAGATGGCATGGTCAAATGATAGAGGATTTGTCTGCTAACATAAAAGTCTAGAGTTCAAGTGCTTGGCTAGAGTCCCTGACTCCACCATACTCTGATGTGTACCTTACTTATGTTAGAAAAAGTAAAGGCGTACAGGCCTAGTACTAAGCAGACTATCCCTTCATATGCTGAGGTCACAGAAATTGTTGAACTCTACTTTACTTGCTATTTTATTCATGACAATAAAATCTATATACTCTAGTTATACTCTAGTTAAATGCTACTTCCTACATATTTTCTGTTACTGGTATAATTACATGACAACACTCAATTATTATGCTAGTAGGCAGGTCTATGTTTTTATTTCCATTTCACATGAGACAAAATCAAATACAAAACTTTAAATTGATACACAAAACACATTCACTAAATAATGACACAAATGCACTTTACTCAGAGCAATGAAAAATTCATTACTATATTATTATATTATTATATTATATTATATTATTATATTATTATATTATTATATTATTATATTATTATATTATTATATTATTATATTATTATATTATTATATTATTATATTATTATATTATTATATTATTATATTATTATATTATTATATTATTATATTATTATATTATTATATTATTATATTATTATATTATTATATTATTATATTATTATATTATTATATTATTATATTATTATATTATTATATTATTATATTATTATATTATTATATTATTATATTATTATATTATTATATTATTATATTATTATATTATTATATTATTATATTATTATATTATTATATTATTATATTATTATATTATTATATTATTATATTATTATATTATTATATTATTATATTATTATATTATTATATTATTATATTATTATATTATTATATTATTATATTATTATATTATTATATTATTATATTATTATATTATTATATTATTATATTATTATATTATTATATTATTATATTATTATATTATTATAACTATACTAGCCTACTTATCAAGTTGTGAACTAAAGTGTTAACACAAACACTATCATGTATCAGTTTTGTGATGCAATTTTTAATATCTTTTTTCCTAAACTGTTGTATATTGCAATATGTAGACAATAATTGTAATAATAGTGTGCAGATATTAAAATAAATACCAAAAATTAATATATTTTAAAACTTTGTGAACAATTTATTGCTAAATATTATTACATATAATATTTTCATAAAGTATACTCAATTACTAACCAACAATAATTACGATTTACAAGTTATTATAATTTATATATTAATTCTAAACATATTATTAACATTAAACCTAATCCGAAATATAAGATAATCATAAGGTTCGGTTAATGAATGGAAATGGCAAAGGCTATAATGTGGTTAGTGAAACATTTTTTGCAACTAGTAATCTAATTTTAACATAATATCAAGGAGATATAGTAACTTTCACTGAAAAATCATAAAATTAATTATACAATTTTTTTTACTAAGAAAAACATTTTAAGTTTACATTTAGGATTTATTATGTTCCAAAATTGTTTTGGTAATATTCTAAGGTTTTTAAAAGCAAAAGAAATGGTTTGCTGATATGTCAGTACATAATGTTTTCATTGTATATAGCTTCACTAAAAGGAGAAAGGACTTTCTTAAACTTTAAACATTTAGCCACTGGATCACTTGCCATCACAGGGGGTAGTTCCATGGACTGATAACTTGAGTCTTCCCTTGTACGCTGTCTATTACTAAAAGTAAGTACATATTATTTTAAATGTTAAAAAATACACCAGGCAAAGTATATTAAAATACATACATTTTGAGTGAATGTAAGTACTAGACAATGTAGATTAAAAAACACACCTGAAAATAAAAAATTCTTTACCTTTAAAATTTTAAGCTCTAAGTAAAATATATATTTATTTAAAAAAGCCACCAGAGTTAAATAAAACGAATAAACAAAATTGTGAATTTTTATCGAAATAATTTTCAAAGATTAGATTAGGTTGGCCTGTCACCACTCCTGGGACAAATGCCACTGACAAGAGATATCCAGGCATCTCTGTCCAGTGCTAGTCTTTAGCCTAGTAATTTTTTGACTGAATGATCCCAATTACTTTATAATCACTGACAGGATTTAATAATAAAAAGTAAATGTAAGTACTTACTCATTAATAGACTTTGAATATAGATGGTATTTAGTTAACTGCTTTTGATGAACAATAACATAAACAGCAATAACCACAACAATGATGATAAACACACCAATTCCAATTGAAAGTCCTAGAATTAAGGCCAACCTGTCTGTTAATAAAGAAATTACATCAAATATAAAATTAGCACATTTTGATTTGCCTACAGACAAAAATAGCTAAATAAAGTTATTTAAATAAAAATATATTGTCAATTTTTTGAAATACCTGTATCTTTTATAATTGTCTTACACTGTGTAAGATTCTGATTATTTTCGTAACAATTTTCATTGGATGAACATGATTGAGATAACTGAGTGTACAGATCACAAGTATTGTCTGGAACTATTAATTAACACAAGAATTAGCAGAAACTGAAGAAAATAAACAGATGATAAAAATATTTTGTTTGAGGTAGGTAGGTATATGCAATTGAAAATATTTTCAGGAATTATTAAGATTGGTTACTATGTGAACTGGGGGACTACGTGTCCTAAGCAGTAGAGTGCTAGACTGCTAACCCATAAGTCTCGAGTTTGAATTGGGTCCCAGGCAGTAGAACTTCTCTTAGTCTACCCAGCTCTCATTGGTAACTAACTTATGTTAAGGAAAGTAAAGGCTACTGGGGAAAGTGCTGACCACACATTCCCTTCACATACTGAGAATCATAACTTTTTTTTATGTGAACTATATTAATAATGCAGATATATATTGTTTATATTATGAATGGTAGGTGGATTAAAAACAGCCTAATGCTACTAGAAAAAAACATATCAGTAAAATATTTTATTAATAAATCATCTAGCTGTGTAACAGAACAGTAAAGACAAGCTGACATTATTTGAAGGCTTCAACTATTTTATTTATAATTTGAAATTATAACTCACTTGATTGGTTTTGTACTAAAACATTCAAGATTTCTATGATGTCAGAACCAACAGTTATATTTTGATTATTTATTTAGCTGTATAACAGAACAGTTGCATTATTTTTAATTTAAACTTATAACTCACTTGATTGGTTTAGTACTAAAACATTCATGATTTCTATAACCCACAGTTATATTTTGATTATTTTTTAAACTGATGGCATACATGGATGCAGAATAAGCAGGAGTGCTGGTATAAGTCAGGTCTACCACAATGGCTGTATGAACTATGACAGATCCATCCCTGTAAATGATTAAAAAATCATAATCGGTAAAAAAAATTTGAATTAGTATTATGATGATTTTCTAGATTATTATCAAACTAAAGTGAAATGACTATACACTTTGTATTGTTGACAAGTTCAGTTTTTGTATAGCATCAAGTGCTCATCAGAGAATAAAAATAAAAAGAATGCGAGAATATGGTGGGTTTATTATTATTGACACAGATAGGTTTGGAAAGTGTTCATTCAACATTACAGTTGATATTATTATACTTACGTGAACTTTGAAATCACAAATGGAAGAATTTCTTTTCCCACTTTATTTCCACCTAACTTGTTTAACTGAAATAGTTTTATTTATTTTAAATAATATAATGTTTATAATACTTTTCTAGCATACAGGAGGTCCATAAATAAAACACATTTATGAATATAAGGGTGGGGATGGTCAGACTTGATGAATATGTGCGATGAAGAAGAATGCATGGGGAAGGGTTCAGAAAGTTTGACATTATACTTTTGCATTTTGAACACTTAAATTTTGAAATGGAATTTTAGCAGTTTTTTTGCCTTTAATTTGTATTATAAAAAGTTATCAATGATCTTGTTAATGGCAAAGCTCATGGAATAATTTTACAAAACAAAACACAATTTCAAAAGACAAAAATGTGTCATTAAAAAAACAAAATTAAAACAATTATAATTTTTATTGCCTATTTGAAGTGGTGGGGATGAGGGGGGGTAGTTGCTGCTGAAGTGTGATTAAACTTTAGGGGCAGTGTCTAGCTTCTTGTGACATTTAATGGTATAGTAGGAAAGATGTGTTAGTAGTGGTAATGATACAATAATTGGACCTTCATTAATGGAAGACCACATATGTATTTAGTGTAATATTTTACAAGAAATAACAATAAAACATTATAAACAGTCTTACACTATCTTCAATATTTAATTTAAGAGAGATAAACTGTTTTGTGTTGTAAATAAAAACATTTGCATCAGGTACAATATTCAATCTCAGCTGCATTGGGAAACTGCGAAAATTCACTGAAGAAGATATAAGATAATGTGATAATATACAAACAATTAAAATAAGATTATATAAATTATTCATTAAGTAATAATAAACTTTTTTTGGATAAATAAATCATTTCAAGTGTTTACCCCTCAAATTATGCATGTAAATGCAATTTTTTGAAAAAGGTTAAAACTAACCTTTACAGGGCTTCGTATTGTTGACAAATAGATAACCTTGTTTACATACACAATCATATGAGCCTTGTGTGTTTTTACATTGTTTTCTCTCATCACAAGAGTAGGTGGGATCTAGACATTCATCTCTGTCTGAAAACAGAACATTATGACCATATAACACAGATTTTGTCATTTAGTACATTTAGAAATTCAGAGATTTTGCTGAAAATATTTGAAGGTTGTTACTTATATTTTAGTTGCTTGTAACTACTTATTAACGTAAAACACATGCATCTCTTTTAAAATCTATGGTTAAAAATATTTAAAATTTGTTTTTACAGTAACACCCTCAAATTTTATATTATTTTTATTTTTAAAAAAAACCATTTCATTTGATCCATTATAACTGTCCAAGAGTTGGTGATTCCTATATAAAGAATCTTGTATAATTTTTTTTTCAAAATCAGACAAACAATCCGGAAAATTCGGGGAACAATAATGTATGGATTAAGTATAATTATATTTCATAAGTAATAATTAATTGAAAATAAAGTGGTGCTTTAAAACAACAGAAGTTTGAGATAAAAGTTGATAAAATGTAGTGAATTTTAATTTTTGTGACAACATATCATTGATTGCTTGAATTTTTCACTTTCTTACTTAATTCTAATGACATGTTGTAGTGTAGGCTTATATCCAGAGACTAGCTAAGAATTTTTGACATTTTACTTGTTAGTACACACCTTGGCAGTCAGATCCATCAACTCTTTGATAACCTGGATCACATCTACACTCTGCAGATCCATTCAAATTAGTACAACTCTCATGTACATCTGGGCAGTAGCTGGTGTTCAAACACTCGTCTATATCTGTTTCACAGTTAGAGCCAGTCCAGCCTGGTTTACATGTGCAAGTTCCATTGACAGCATTGCAGTTATTGCTGTTGTCTTTTACACATGCACAAGTCTTCTTACAGTCCTGGCCATAGTGGTTCTCATCACATGCTAAAATAAAATGTAGACCACCACTTGTAAGGAATATCACACTCTGTACTATTTTATAAAAATGAAAGCAGAAAAATAATGAGTAATCGCTTATATCGAGCTATGGTCATTTGACAAAAAACAGAAATGTCTGAATGAAATGGAAGAATGTTAAATGAAAAATGATACCACTAAACTGAACAGATTGAGGTCAGATACTCATTGTGTAGGAAATATTAATAAGTGTTAGGGCTATCTAAGTCATTCTGTTTTTTTTTTAAACTTCAAGGCACCTCAAAAAGTGTGCCCAAAAAAATTACAAAATGTATTTATTAATAACTATTATTTCAACAAGAGTTTGCATTTTTTAATCGGGGTATATAATACTTTACTTATTGTATTCATAGCTGCTGACTTCATTTTTTTGCATAAAAAGACTTGTAATTTGCATTTTGTCTACAAACAATAAAACAGTAAAAGTAGATACATTTTAACTTACACAAACAGCCAGTAGTGGAACTATAGAAGCCAATTTTGCAGACACATCTATAAGAACCAGGTGCGTTGACACACTCGGCATTTCGGCATTGACTGAACATACATCACTTGTACTACATTCATCAATATCAGTACTGCAGTCTGGACCAGACCAGCCTTTTAAACAATCACAATTTCCATTTTCAATAAAACAGATTTGTGGTTTGGTGTTGGTAGTGTTGCAGGTACAATTTTCAGCACAGTTGGGGCCATAGAAGCCATATTGGCAAGCTGTAGAGATAAAATGAAACAGGCAATGCTTTTTATAACATCATTATTAGTAATGATAAATACAAAATACCATGCCTTGAAATTTTTGATTAAGCAGTACAAATGAATCACCAAATAACTCAATTTACCTCTGCAAGTTTTTTTGTCTTCTAAAAGTTCTGTCTTGTTTTGGCAGGAACATGAAAATAATCCATTACTATTGATACATTCACCACCAACACAAGGGTTATTTTCACATTCATTTATATATAAAAAAAAAACAACAAATAACAGAAGCTCATGTAGTTCCTTGTTCACTTGAATTTCGTAAAGTTTAGAAATAACATTTCCACTTTTTTAAACAATTCTATACATATTAGTACAATACCCGAACAATCATCAGTTTATAGTAGTACATTTTACATTTTTAAAAACAAAGGAAGCAAAGAAAAGAACATACCAACACAGGAATTATTAATCATGCTGTATCCAGAAAAACATGAACAGATCTGGGTATTATTTACTAGTACACACAACTGTTGACAGCTGTTTGATGCAGGACACTTCTGATTTAGGCTGCTAACTTAAATTTTACCAAACAATTTCTACATGTCAATTTCTTTACAACAAATTATAAGAATAATACTTTATTATCATATTAAAGATGATTTTAAAAATGTAATATCTGTTAACATTACATGATCTGGCAAGCAAAATGTTATTTTTTACTAAAAAATGTTATTTTTTACTACAATTATGTATACATGTAAATGAATTTGCAATGATAAATAATTATAAACAATTTAAATTTTAAAAAGTTGTATAATATATTGAAAACTTAATACAAGTATTTCCAGTTGTTCCATTTAATTCATATCCTTCGTAACATTCACAAGCAAATCCACCAAGTGTGTTTCGACATTCCTGGTCACATTTATTTAACTCTTTTACAGCACATTCATTTATATCTATTGAAAATAAAGAATTAAATTAGAAAATATATTACAAAAGTTAAATCAAAATTTTAGTGTACCTTTTTATGTAAACTGAACATTTTGTAATAAACAAGTTAATTAAAAAGTCTAGTGACATTTAAGCGCAATTTCCTTATGTTATCTAAAAATAGCTCTGTCGTAGCGTAAATCAAGAGCAGGGTTAGTAAAACCATTGGTTAGTTATTAAAACGTTTTTTATTAATTTTTTTTTCAGTATTTTACATGTTTTATTTACAATAGATTTACATGACAAAAACCATTGCGCGCCAAGCTACCGCACATGATGTCGCAGCCATTGAACGTGATGGCGCAGCTATTGAACGTGATGACGCGTGTGGTGTGGTTGGATAAAAATGCCTACTAATTCGGTCCAAATTTTAATTAATTAAAAAAAAAATTTGTGACCGATCGAAATGATATTTTTGAAAACTTTCTTCGACAATATTGTTCTAAATTATGGCAGGAATCGATTGGTACATGTTTCAAGTCGCTAAGTCGTCTGGTTGCCGAGATATGGGCCAAAAACTGCATTTTTTCGAGGTTTTTTGGCTTTTCGGGGAAACCCATGGAAGAAACCCGGAATTGTTTTGGCCTATGTTCATCCTCGTAACTTGCTTAACATAATTGCTTTTGAAACTAGTCCTCGATATTGCTTCGTTGAGGAGGAGATACGACTTAAAGCTGCGGACACACATCCATCCATCCATTCATTCATTCATTCATACATCCAGAAATGACGGGTTAATAAACGCAATTCTCCAGAATGGAAATTGCGCTAAAAAATTAAAATTATTAAAGTATGAAAGCAAATATATCTACCATTGCATTGTGTTCCATTAAAAATAAAACCTTGAGAATAACAAGAGCACTGGAAGCTGCCTTGTGTGTTAGTGCAGATCTGGTCACATGGGGAACTCAAACATTCATTGATATCTAATAACAGATTTATATGTTTAAATATAAGTTTTTATGTGTTGAACAACACACATGATTTACAAAAAAAAATCTGCAATAAAAATCTGCAACATAAATAAAACTACTACAATAATAACAAAACTAAAATACCTGAACACATAAATAAACAAAATATAACTACCTGTACAAGTATTGTTAACAAATGAATATCCCTCTTTACACTGGCAATAAAAAGAGCCAAATGTGTTGACACAACTTGATGTTACAGGACATGGTGGTACAAGACTTGAGCATTCATCAATATCATCCTGGCACCAAGTTCCTGCCCAGCCAGCTTTACACTGACATCCTTGCGTGGGGTCACATCTTGATGTACCTCTTGTGCTGCAGTTACAATCTGTGGCACAGTTCTCTCCCCAGTGATAGGCATCACATTCTAAAATAAGTTTAAGCATCTCAAGTTTTAAATTGCAAGTTTAATAAAAATAGTACAATATGTTCTTAATAGAATTGATAAATATGCATCAGATTTTAGTAAGCTTATTATTTGTAGAAAAGAATGAACACAAAAATGTAATTTGCAAGAAGATTTTTTTTTGTAATATGGCTAAGCAATATGTATAATATGAATTAAAATTATGAATTTTACAAATACATACACACGCATATATATATATATATATATATATATATATATATATATATTTATCTATTTATATATATATTTATATATACAGACATAAATACCTTGACAGGTTTTCTTATCATTCTGTAGTTTATATCCAACTGGACAAGAACAATTGTATGACCCTGGAGTGTTAAAACAGGTGCCATTGCATAGTTTCTGTGTTGCACATTCATCTATATCTTTATTAGATCATAACAAATAAAAAAACATTCAATAGGATGCTCTTTAATGAGATATTTACTACTAAAACAGAAGTTATACAACTTTAATAAAGAGTAAAAGAATGAGTAATTTTATCAAATGTTGTAATGCAATATATATAATATATACAAGACAGCATGGCTTACCTAGACAGTCAAACTGGTTATTACTCAGCATGTAACCTATAGCACAAAAACACTGTGCTGTTTCATTAGATACAGTACATCCTTGACTGCAGTTCAGGTAAAAGTTTTCACATGGATCAACATCTACAGTATCAATTAAATAGTACACAATGTTAAAGCTTATAGTAATAAATGCCCTTTGACATATTTTAAAATTATTTTGACTCATATTTTATTATTGGTTGGCTACAATAGCAATTTGAAGTTATTATTATTTGATATTATTATTACGAACATAATTTTTAAGGTCAATGCATGCTATAAGTTACCATGTTTTTCACAAGTCTTCCTGTCATCTTTTAACCTGTAGCCTGGATAACAGTCACAGTTGCTACTTCCAGGGACATTGATACATTTCTGTTTACAGCCAGATTTGTCAATTTCACATTCATCAATATCTGTTTGGTGGGAAGAAAACTGTTTTTGTTAGTTAAATATTCATTTAATTAAAATGATTTATTAAATGATTATCAGGTTTACATACAACAGAAACAATACATAAAGACTTAAAGTTACCTTTACAAGTGCCATTAGGAAGCTTTAAAAATCCATCTCTACACTCACAAATAAATGACCCTGGTGTATCAATGCATGCTTGAGAACAAATGTTTCTTGTTTCACACTCGTTAATATCTGGTTGGTTAAAAAGGAAGTTTTTTTTTTATGTTTTGATCAATAAATACTAAAACAAATGTCAAGTTTGAAAGGTGTTTTTTCGTGTTTAAAGTAAAAAAGTAAAGAATTCATTGCACCGATGAAGTAGAATTCATATATTTCTTGACCTAGGCATATGAAGGGAAGGCACGGTCAGCAATTTGCCCGGCGCCCAGGGACAACTTTTCGATTTGCCCCCCCCCCCTCAATCTTTTGATTTGCACTCCCCTCAAAATTTCAATTTGTTTTTCCAACCCATTTTGGCGGCCCTAAGGTCGGCGCCCGGGGATGTATGTCCCTCCCCTCGCTACGCCTCTGGGGACATTATACTGACTTGAAACTGGTTTCGAACTCAAGACTTGCAGGTTAGCAGCCTAGTGCTCAACAATGTAGGCCATGTGTAATAGATTGAGATAATTGTGAGGTCAAGGGAACTCACTCTTCTGTATTAGTATTATATTTATATTGTTATCTTGAGTGATGTCCCTTGTGCATTGTACTTCCTTCCTCTTTCCTCATGGCTGTAAATAAAGACTGTTAACAACCAATGTGGCTCCTCGTCAGTGATTACAATCTATCACATTGGCGACGAAGGATAAATAATCTACTAGAAAGAGCACCTACTTACGCAAAAAAGAGGTTTGCTAGAGCTTATTAGCTAAGTATTTCTAGAATAATGGCGCTGTATGGCCAAATAAAAGAATTTGATTCGAATGATGAAATCATTCAAGATTACCTAGATAGGTTAAGCTTTTACCTTGAAGCTAACGACGTGACGATAGAAGCCAGAAAGAGAGCTGTTTTGTTAACAGTCATAGGGCCTCAACAATTTAGGCTACTAAAAGACTTATGCGCACCAGCTAGTCTAACTACCAAGAGCTTTAACGAGCTGAGCAAATTGCTAACAGACCACCATGCGCCTACCCCATCAAAGTTTCTATGTAGAGCTAGATTTGACAGTAGGACTCGTCAACCAAACGAGTCAATATCAGAATATGTTGCTGCTTTACGTCATCTAAGTAAATTTTGTAAATTCGGCGATACGCTGTCTGACAGACTATGTGAAAAGTTTGTGACAGGTCTAAACAGCCCTGATGTTCAAAGAAAGTTGCTGCTCGAGTCAGATCTAACATTAGAAAAAGCAATAAAACTAACAACTTCATTCCAGCAGTCATCAGAGGCGGCGAAATCTCTAACGCCTTCAGAGATACATGCAGTAAACAGCAGGTTAGTCAACAAACACCAACCCCATCAGAGCATTCCAACTTATGCTAAACAGCCTGCACGTTTAAAGCCTAGATCTAAATCTAGTAATAATTATCAAAAATGTCATCGATGCAAAGGTCCCCATGCATCTCATCGATGCAAGTTCAAGTCTGCAACTTGTTATAAGTGCAGTAAGCAAGGTCACATTGCCAAGGCCTGCTTTGCAAAGTCTTCGTCTGTTGCTAAATCTAGCCAGTCAAGACAGTACCGCAACCAAAGGCAGCACTATGTTAACTCTCACCAAGACTACCTAACCCAACCAATGAACCACTCTACCTGTGAAAATGCTCAAACTGATTCGCAGCCGGATTTCAACCTGTTCTCTGTGAAATCAATAAGTCATGCTCCCATCAATGTACCAGTTTATATCAACGGTAAGAGCATCAGCTTCCAACTTGACACTGGAGCATCTCTAACAGTCATAACAAAGAAAGATTTTGACGCTGTCACAGGAGGATCAGTGCCTCTACAGCCATGTCACAAGTGTCTAACAACATACACTGGTGACAATGTTCCGGTAATAGGAGAGTGTATGGTTCATGTAAGTTATAATGGTCAAAGTGTTAAACTTCCTCTTCTTGTGGTTGAAGGAAATGGACCACCATTACTAGGTAGGAACTGGTTAAGTGATCTTAAGTTAAATTGGGAGAGTATATTTTCAGTGGTCAATGGAAAAGAATCTAGTCTTACTTCACTAGATAAAGTAATATCTGAAAATAAAAGTGTTTTTGGCAATTCAGGTTTACTAAATGATAGAACAGTGAAGATAAGCATTAAAGACACAAATCCAAGATACTGCAAAGCTAGAGTTCCACCTTATGCAATGAGGAATAAAATTGAAAATGAGCTAAGTAGATTGGAATCTAATGGCATCATAAAGAAGGTAGACTATTCCGATTGGGCAACGCCCATTGTGCCAGTGTTAAAGAAGGATGGTTCTATAAGAATTTGTGGAGATTATAAAACTACACTGAATAAGCAAATAGAGCTAAATAGGTACCCTATTCCTAACATTGAGGAAATTTCTTTGAATTTGGCAGGAGGAGACAAATTCACTGAATTAGACTTTAGTCATGCTTACACTCAACTAGAACTGCATCCAGATTCAAAAGTCTATACGACAATAAACACACATAAAGGACTCTACCAATACGAAAGACTATGTTTTGGCATATCATCCAGCCCTGGAATTTTCCAAGCTGTCATGGACAGTATTTTTAAGGACATTCCAAATGTTTGTGTGTACTTTGACAATGTGTACATAACTGGTAAGAATGACACTGAACATCTTAAAACACTTGATAAAGTATTGAAAATTGTTGGTGAAAAAGGTTTAAAGATAAACAAAGATAAATGTCAATTCATGCTGACAGAAATTAGTTTTCTTGGTTATATATTAAGCAAGCAAGGTATCAGACCTCAACCTGAGAAAACAAAAGCCATTAAAGAAGCACCCAAACCTGAAAATACCCAACAACTAAGAGCTTTTTTGGGCTTGATAAATTACTATGCAAAGTTCATAGGAAATCTGTCTGGTAAACTATCACCACTGTACAAGCTGCTACAGAAAAATGCAACTTGGCACTGGGGTAAACAACAAGAAGCTGCTTTTAATACAGCAAAAGAGGCTTTGTCTGCTGACACCTTACTAACTCACTATGACCCAGGGAAAAGACTTATATTAACATGTGATGCTTCACCAGATGGTGTAGGAGCAGTCTTGTCCCACATGGATGAGAAGGGTGACAGACCCATTGCTTTTGCCAGTAGATCTTTGAACCAGGCTGAGAAAAATTATTCTCAGTTAGATAGGGAAGGCTTAGGCATCATTTTTGGTGTTAAGAAATTTCATAAGTTTCTGTTTGGTAGGAAGTTCACCATCTTTACAGATCATAAACCATTGCTAGGTTTATTTGGAGAAAACAAAACCCTACCTGAGCATGCCTCACCAAGAATTCAAAGATGGGCTATCACACTAACTGCATACAATTATGAATTGAAATACAAACCTGGATCTGAGAATAGTGCAGATAGTCTTAGTAGATTACCTTTAAAAAACCAAAGCCTGAGCTATGTACCAGAAGATGTATTTGTTCTCTTCACTATCATGGATAACTCCAATATAAATGTGAATGATATTAAAAGAGAAACACAAAAAGATGAGTGCTTAATAAAAGTATATGAGCACTGTAAGAATGGTTGGCCTGAAGAGTCTGTGAATGATGACTTAAGGCCATATTAAATAAGAAATAAAACCCTTTGTGAAGATAATCTAAAAGATGGAGAAGATGCAGTCCATTATCAGTCAGAGTTGCCTAAACAAAGTATTTGTAACTTAATAAATGATTATGGTGATATGGCAATTTCAAATGCTTTCAAAGAGAATACATTAGTAAGAAGGAATGTGATCATCAAACAACTTTGCTAACATCATTAGCACTTAAAGAAACTAAAAGGGTAACATCAAAGGTAAATACCAAACAGAAGAAGCTAAAGGTGACAATGAAAGAGTAAACAGGTTCTTAACCAAATACCGCACAACTCCTCATATAACAACAGGTGTTGCACCATGTGAATTGTTATGTGGTAGGAAAATTAAAACTCATCTTGACCTACTACATCCAACTGTTCAAAGGTCTGTTTCCCAACATCAACATACACAAAAAGTAAATCATGACAAATCATCCATTGAAAGAGAATTTGCAGTTAATGATAATGTGTATCTAAGAAATTATGGGAGAAGGGAAAAATGGATACCAGGTCAAATTGTTCAATGTACAGGACCTGTGTCTTATAAAGTAAAAACAAATGATGGACTTATTGTCCGTAGACATGCAGACCAGTTAAAAATAACTTGTGCAGATAATAAGTGTGAATCTGTCAATCCCACCAAATCTGATCAGTTCACACCAACTCAGTTTGTTCCACAACCAAGTTCTGTTGATATGAGTGAACCAAGTTGTCTGGAGTCAGAAAATGTAAATTCTGGAGTTAATGATTTAAATCCTAGACCTCCTGAGATAGAGAATCCAGATGGTCAGAATCTTGAGTCACCAAATCAAAAGCCACTGAGAAGGTCAAGCAGGACAATCAAAGTCCCAAATAAGTTAGACCTATGATTTTAAAGGTCAAAAGGACTTTGACATCATTGTTTTGTATCTTGATTATGTTGGAGCATATTGTGCATTGTTTGTAAGGATGTAATCTACCATAGTGTTCATGTTACAATATAATTGGTGATTTTAGGATACTATCAATTGTTCTATTGAGAGATGTGTTATTGTGTTCTAAGGGTAAAGGGATGTAATAGATTGAGATAATTGTGAGGTCAAGGGAACTCACTCTTCTGTATTAGTATTATATTTATATTGTTATCTTGAGTGATGTCCCTTGTGCATTGTACTTCCTTCCTCTTTCCTCATGGCTGTAAATAAAGACTGTTAACAACCAATGTGGCTCCTCGTCAGTGATTACAATCTATCACACCATGCATTCCCATTTTTTAGTATTTTAGTATTTAGAGCAATACTATACCTTTCAGTTCAACAGCAGCAGTTATGAGAAAACAAATTTGGGGTAAAAACAACACATTCAAAAATGCCACTTACATTAGGCAGCACAATGTATTTTAATTTTATTTAAACAATTTTAATAGTTAAATAATTTTGTATTTTAAAATACAACACAACAATGGTATAACGGATAACTGTTAGCCTATTACTAATGAATAGAAAAGAAGTAAATTTCTCAATATTCTATTTTATTTCTGATTTAAATATAAATATACATGACTAAAATCATTTGAATAACTAATTAAAGCAATTTATGGAAACTGAATATCAATGCATAAAACATTGCAACTGAAAATATATTATAAAATATTGGAAAAAAAAAGTAACTCACTAATGCATGTTCCATTTATATCTTCATAACCCACAGGACAGTCACAAGTATAAGAGCCTTCTGTATTTATACATTTATGATCCGCAGGACAGACATCAGGTTTTATAGCACATTCATCCACATCTATTTCACATGTTTCTCCTTTCCAATTGCTTTGACAGATACAGCCTTTAACATTGTCACATCTTACAGCCCGTCCTTTACACTGGCATGTATTGCTACAGTTGTAACCATAGGTGTTGCCTTGACATGCTGGAAACAAAATAAAACTGATCAAAAAGAAGTGAAATAAACTAGTTGCAAATTTAAATATTTAGGCTTGACAAGTGAATAATTTATTAAATACTGTTAAAAACCTCTAGTTAAAAAATTGTTCGCCCAAGTCATTGAAAATAAAAATGAATTTAGCTTTTTAAAATAATGTTCACATTAATTCATTAAATTTAAGTATTTAAAAAAATAAGTTATTTAATGAGTGTCATAAAAAGTAAATGTACTTTAAGTTGAATAACATATTCTTTTACTAAACCAAAAAATCCTCTCATTAACGGTTGTTAGTATTTCCATTTGATAAGGAAATCAAATGGAAAAATTACTACTCTCTAATGTACTTTCTACTTCTGCAGGGAAATACAAAATTCATATCTTGCTTTTATTAAAAGTACAATAAAAATGAAAACACTGACAATTTTGGATAAGTAGTGAGGACCCTTTTTGGATAAGATAGATATTTATTGAGGTTTATTGGTTAAAACAACACTAAATGGATGTTTAATTAAATATTTCTGTTCTATTTTTTATAGAAGATAACACACTAGCTGAAAAAAATGTTAGTAAAAAGTACCATTTAAATACTACATAATTAATTTTAAAATTATTGTAAATTGTGCATTTCTGGTGAAACATTTCTAACAAAGCTGTAGGCCTAAATATCATATGTTTAAATTGTTATAATTACATACTGTCACAAGATCGCAAATCATTCTTGTTGAGAGTATATCCAGAGTAACATGAACAACTGAAACTTCCATTTGTGTTGATACAAATTTGTGAACAGATTTTCTCTTTGCATTCATCTATATCTGAGATAAAATTAAACAAAAGTAATATATCATCACAGGGTATGTTAAAGTTTTTAAAAAAATTAGTGATTCATATTGATGTCATGCATGTATACTTTGAAAAAAATAAAATACCTTCACAAGAATAGTTGTTTGCTTTTAATTTGTACCCTGATGCACAAAAACATTCTGCTCCATTGCTGCCATTTCGACAATTGTATTCACAAGACTTGTTAATTAATGTACATGGGTCTATCAATGGAAAAATAGATGTTTGCTATTATTAATACTTCATAATCAAATAGAAACATTTAAGATAGTAAAACAGAAGAAATCATTTAATACATTATTATAAACACAACTTATTAATAAAGTTAGTTATTTTTTAAGATACCCTTTTCTGTCAGTTCACATTTGCCATCAGTCCTAGCAAATCCTGGGTAACATCTGCAATCATAACTGCCTAAGTTGTTAACACATATTTGATCACACTCATGTAATTTCTCTGAGCATTCGTTGATGTCTGTGGGTATATTATTAAAATTTACTTACAAACAATTTAATGTTTTTAAGCTTAATAAAGATTTTTTGTATTATGTAAAATAAATAAAAGATATTATTATCAGTGTAAATATTTAAACAATATAGTTTTAATCTAATGTAGTAGGACAAATATAGCTACACATTAAAATGTTTAATACTTACCAACACAATTGACTGATCCAGATTTTCTGAAGCCTTTTGGGCCGTTACAAACAAAACTGCCGTAATTATTCTCACATACAGCATATGCACCACAAGGTGGGGTTATCTTACATTCATCAACATCTTTGAACAAACATAACATGAGAGGTTAAAATATTAAAGAAATAATCAAACAACAAATACAATGGAACTCTAACTATTTTAGATAAATATAACTTAAATAATTACAAAAAACCAACCTTCACACTTGGTTTTTTTAGAATTCAGTTGATAACCAATAGGACAATCTTTACATGTGTATGATAGCCCAGTGACTTGTTCTTCTGAAGCTGCTATGTCTACACAACCTTTCATGCTGGGGCAAGGATTGGTAGCACAGCCATCATTGTCTTGTTCACAGTCATTACCTGTTGGTTGCATTAACAGTTGAAAGTCTATTCTAGTTTTTATTTAGTCAGAGTTGGAATACTACACACATAAGAATATTTTACCATTACACAAAACCGTGCAGAAATAAATCATCCCTGGTTAGGCAGAATAATAGATTTTTAATTAAATATAAAAAATAAAAGTATCACTTTTTAAGACAAAATATTAATGATGTTAAATATTTATACTAATGGCAAGAGAATAGTACCTAAAACTTATTTAAAAAGCTGTCAAATTGTGTTTTCATTTTGATCTACTTGGGGAATGTTTGATTTCACAAAGTTACAATAAATATATTCTTGTAAGATTAAAGATTATTTTTTTTATATTTAAAGACCAACGTTTATTTTCTTTGTGATAACTTCAAACTCAGATTAACTTAGTTAACAAAATGTTTAAAATAATTTTCAAACAAAAAAATTAATAAACCATTATAAAATAAAAATAATCTATGTTTATAACTATTAGTATTATATATATAAATTAATTAAAAGAAACCTGCAAATCCAATGTTACAGTTACATGCTTGCCAGTAAAAATATGGATTTGATGTTGCTGTAAGCCTAGCTTCATCACATGTACCACAATAACTACATCCACTATATGCAGAAATATTGATTGCTACTGATTCTGAATGCAGTCCTTTACTATCAGATGATGAGAATCTGGATTTAAGCAAAAGAAAATTTAAGTTTATTAAGACAAAACAAACCCTTTGAAAAAGTATGTAACATTTAATTTTAAAGACATAGTGTATTATTACATGTAGACATTTATTATAATATAAAGTATGCTTACAAGATCTGAGTTTCAGTGTCAGACAATACAATTGAATAAGTTGATGCAATAGCTTTTGATGTGTCTCTCTTATTAATAGTTTTAAAAGTGTAATTAGCATTGGTCATTAAAACAACAGTAACATCTTGACCATCAGGATCAAAAGCTGTTAGAGTTAGGCTGAAAGATTGATTCACAGTAACCCTAACATGTGTTGTATTGACAATAATATATGGGGCTTGGTTTGCTGAAGATTAAAATAGTGCGAAATATTCATGAGCGTTTTCATATTAACAAATTTTTATTAAAGTGTAAATAAAGTTACCTTTTTTAAAAATTTTGCAATTTAAATTATAATTTTTATCTTTATTTCTCTTTATATATTTCAATGTTAGCAGAATGCTTTTGACAAAATAATAATAAGTTTTTTTCTTGGATAAAATCAGCAAAACCTTAAGTGTTATGTTTCTATTTTTTATAAATTTCAACAAAACTTAAATGCATTTAAATGTGTTTGGAATCAGAAACTTAAAAATTATAATCTTGTGTTGTGGTTTTTGCATTTACCTGTGCTAACTGAAACTTTTTCAAACTGAACTGAAGACTTTAAAGAAATTTCAGCAATTTTTTCATTCTGTGTAGCAATGAAGTTAAAAATACAAGGAAGATTTCCTGAACCATTACAAATCTTTTCAGCTTCTGCTATTGTTGTAGGATTTTGTTCATCATAAAATAATGGTGTGAAATTAGGGTTAGAAAAAGTACTTGTGCTTTGTCCATAGCTGTACTGGAATAAACTTTCATTCTGAGTTATCGCCCCTGAAAATAAAAAAAAAATCAATGGGCAATTTGTACAAAATTATTTGTATATATTTTTATGTTGTTTTATATTTTTTATTTATTTTTTTTAAAAAGGGCTAAATAATTTTTATTGATGTTGCTACTTATGACTTTTCTTGTTGAAAAAAATATTATTTTGCTATGCTGTGAAAATATATATAGTTTTTAAGAGTTAAATAAATACATGATATTTTGTTACATTTTATCTTATTAAACATAGAGCAGTACATTCATACACAAAATAAAATTAAAAAATGAGAAAATAAATGTAAATCATATTAAAAGAAGTTCAGAGCTAGTAACTAATGGTATTTTAAAATATACAAAATGTATTTTATACTTACATAACTTGCCATACTCATATAATTGTTTTTCACTTGAATCATCAGAGAGTTGTGTTCCATTTGGGCAAATAAAATCATCAGTTTTGTCTCCATTAAAATTGCCTAAAAGACCAGTGGTCATTTTCTGATATTTTTTGTCTAGCGTGAGGGAAAATTCTAGTAATTCATTTACCAGAGTAACAGTCATCCCAATACCTGCAATAGATGTTGAAATTAATTTTATAAATAGACACAGTATTAAGTATTGTCTACATCCATATCCATATCCACATCTACTAATATATTTACATCTATATCTACATCTACACCTTCTACATCTACATATACATCACTCTCTAATTCATGGTAATATTGATTTCAGAAGTAGTAAATGTTTGAACTTGCAATGTTATTAAAATAATTTCCAATTATATAAATTAAAAGCAACTTACTTTCTGGAAGAGACACTTCTAAAGCTCCATTTTGTTTTCTTAATATCATTTTATTATCAAATGTAAAAAAATTAGGGTTACTTAAGTATTCTGTTGTATAATCTCTTTTATTAGCATATATTATCATAACTGAAAAAAAATAATAAAATTAGTAATATTATATTATTTAAATATTTAAATTAACAATATTTCTTCTTTAATGCATTCACTTTACAGAAAGTAGCAGTGTTTTTGTTTTCAGGCGTCTCTCCTGGGGGGAAGGGGGAAGAGAGGACCTTTGACAGTAAAGGTATCATACTGATATTCTAGATGTGGCCGCCACCAACTATTTCTCTAATTATGTGAACTGACGCCTCAGCAAACCCTTGTGTAGTTTTTACTAGCTCTGCTACATGTTTACAACTGGTTTTAGCACTGCAGATTGAGCCCATTGGGAACAGTTAACATGAGCTTACATATGTTTTTTCATTTACTGTATTAATTTGAACTCATATTTTAATTATCAATGTAATTTCAAGTTTGATAAATTCATTACCTAATCTTATAATCTACCTTGTTTTTTTGTAAGTAATTTATAATTTAATTACAGGCAGTAAACTGTGTGCAATGAATTCTCATGTAGTTATTGGGCCTGGTTATTACATTTTATTTAGTGCTGTTGCCAATGACTCACTTTACACCACAGCATACCATACATCAATTATTACTTTAACATTTTACCCTGCCCATGTACAAGCTAAAATAGAAAAAGTATACTATAACAAGTGTCTGCTCCTGGAAGTTTCAAGTGACCTCCCCCCCCCCCCCCCCCAATGGAAGTTTCAAGGGACTTCACTGGAAGTTTCATTTGACCCCCCCTGGAAGTTTAATAGCCCCATCTCTTGAAGTTTAAAGTGACCCCCCCCCCTGAAATTATCAAGTAACCTCATTGGAAGTTTCAAGTGTCCACACTCACCCCTGAAATTTAAAGTGCTGCACACCCCTGGAAGTTTTAAGTGACTCCCCCTCCCCTGGAAGTTCAAATGCCCCCTCCCCCACCCTGGAAGTTTTATGTGACCCCCCTGGAAGTTCCAAAGGCCTTTCCCCCACCCTGGAAGTTTCAAAAGCTCCCTCCCCCAACCTGAAAGTTTCAAGTGACACCCCCCCCCCTGAAAGTTTCAATTGCCCAACCTCTGGAAATTTCAAGTGACCTTACTGCCTTACTGAAAGTTTCAACAGCCCCCAGGAGAAACCCAGGGTAACTGAATATATAAATATACAGAAAGAGCAACATTCAATATTCCACACATCGTTTTTAAAATTAAATAAATAATTATCTGTCTAGGACTCAAATTTTAGAAGTAGGCATACTCAATTTGAAAATTTGAAATTTGAAACTCTTTTCATATACACAGCTACTAAAAAATAAAAAAGGTCAAACTATAGGCATATATATTGTAGTTTCAATAAAATCTGATTTTAGTATTACATTACTATATTGTTTAAACATGATTAAAGAATATTTAACATTTATTCTTACTTTTCCTTGAAGGGCTGATTTCTACTCTGAGTGAATTTTCATCACCACTCGTCATTGATAGAGCACACCAGACTGTGGCTAGAGTTTCATTGCCATTACTGTTTAATGCACGACAGGTTCTACCCTAATGAATTATAAAACAAGTTGCTTATTCAAATGTTAATTGATACATTAATTTCTATCATAAACATTAAAATTTAGCCAATATTTAAATTTATAGTTAATATTTATAATGTGTATATTATATTTATAATTGTTTTTTGATATGATATATAAAAATCTTTAAAAATAAACCGGGAGTGATCTCCCCTAAACTTTCTCGAATATTCTAATATAAAACAACAGGGGATGGGAACTCGGGCTATAGACATGATTTTTAATCCATTTTAAATACTTAAAGTTTTAAAAATAGAATAAAATCTCGTAGACAAAAGAATTGCACACCAAGTGAACGCCAAATAAAAAAGTGCATAATAGTGCGCAATATTATTAGTACTTAAAAAATTTACATTAGTTTTTTGAGAAATCGGAAGTAGCGTAAATTACTACTTCCGGTCAACGGAAATAACTCAAAATTTAACAGAAGGTAGAAAATTAGATCTTTTACTCACATGTGAAATTTCATTTATCTCTCTGAAATAGTACTCAAGTTATATGCTTTTGAAAAATTCAAAGTAGAAAAAGTACCACTTCCGGTTATCGGAAATCGCTCAAAAGTTGATACGGATCTACGATTTTGATAAAATACTTATATATGAAATTTCATCAACCTAACTGTAACGGTACTCAAGTTATCGTGTTTACACGCACACACACACAGATACACAGACAGACACACAGACATACGGACAGGATTGCAAAGCCCAGTTTTTCAGAATGGATTACGCATAAAACTTCTTAATTTTGATAAATCTGGATTGATAATTTTTGCCCGATTAAAATAAGTCCTCTATACTTTGGATGTGATGAAGGACCGAGATGTAATACGGTGAAAATTGTTAAAATTTGAAGAGATTTTTTTGCGCGATTACAATACTTTCTCTATACTTCGTATATACGAGAAAGTAAAAAATTAATTACATATAGTTTCTTTAATGCTCTTAGTCTTAAAACAAAAGCAAAATATACTTATATTACCTGCAATTTAAAATGCTGGTTTGTAGCTCCTATTATTTGCACTAAGTGATATTCTCCCAGTCCATTGAATATGAATGATCTTTGGTCCAGGGTTATTATGTGGGGGTCTCCAAACAAGAAACCTATGAAAAGTATTTGTAATGAAGTGCATTTGTTTTTTGTAATTATTTTCCTTACTGTGTTATAAGAAGTGTAGTAGTGGTTTAAATAAATAAAGCTAAACAATATGTAACTATAGTCAAGAGCAGTTTGCCTGTTTTTAATATTTATTTTAATGACAAAAAAATTAAATTATTTCTGAATATTGGAGCTAAGATAATTAAATTGTTAATATGCAAAGAAATAACTGACAGATTTTTAATTCAGTTTAAATAAATTTTTTCTTATTTTAGTTTCACCTTAGAAAACGCAAAACAAGTACAATAAATGTTAAGCTTAAAATTCTTTACAAAATGTATAATCTTACTACTAGCCCAGTTACTCCCATTGCATGAGAAAATTGGTCTTAAAGTATAGTACAGGTCACACAAATTTGACTTAGTACAGCACCAGTCTTTAGGGTCTTCATCCAACTGATCGTGTTCTTTGTAAATGAAAGAATTATATCTCAGAAGACTTCCAGCTTGTGGGATTGTATTAAAAAAACTTGAACTTTCATCAGCTTTGTAGCAGCATCTCTGAAGAAAAGAAAATCAAAGAAAATAGTTTTTCAGCTTGTATAGAAGACAGAAAAAAATGTTTTGGTAATTGAGGTCAAATATTAGTGCCATACCCTTCCATATTCTCCATAAAATGGTAATAGATCAAAGCAGTTTCTATCCGAATAGGCTAGACTGCTAGGAACCCAGATTGGGCTACTTTTGGCAGCAACTTCATTACAAGGGCAGGCTGGCAGTAGGTTTTTGTTCCAGAGATCTATAGCTGCTCATAAAGGATTTTTAACATTTATTATAATTTCAAAACATTTGAATCATATATTTGAATTAACTGAACAGACAATGATGTCATGTGCTTAAAATATAATTTTTTTTGTGTAAATTAATAGTTTTAAAGACATTTTTTACTAGGCAGTTCTCCTTGATTAGAGATAAACCATGTACGGCACATCATCTTAAAATTTTTGTTTTCTCCAACTTTAAAAATCCAAAGACCAGGTTTTCCTGTTGTAACAAAACACAAAAAATTTTAATCCAAAAACAATATTGTATTCTAGTCTAAAAAATTTAGTGCTTTTCATGAAATCAATATAGACCAGTTTTATAAAATCAAAGCTCATTTACTACTACTTATCTTGAGTTTTAGTACTATAGACTATTTACCAGTGTTCCCCAAAACTGTATCAAATCTGTAGTAACTTGTAAGTGAGGTATCAAAGCTAAAATTTGCCCAACCGACTTCAACATTTCTGGCTGATAAGGGTTTGAATTTCATAGCACCTTGGATGTAGATGTATATGGCATATGTTGTATGTCCATCTGATATTATGACACATTGGAATGAGACACGCTATGAAGAAACAAGAAAAACATTCAATGTAATATGATTTCAGATTTTGTTGCATAAAAACAAATGTTTAACGACATGTAACAATGACACGCAATGTATTGGGTGTAGGGAATTGGCCAATAATAGTTACAATAGCAGATAATAATTGTTTTTGTGCCCATCCCATATTGCATTCTATATAGCCACATATATGCAAAGCAATACTCTAATTTGCAATAAAATAGAACATTCATTTAGACATAAAAAAGGAAGGTGTGCTAAAATCAAAATACCTCATCCACACTTCCATGTGCTGGTACATTAACCCATGTAACCACAATTACTGTTGTAGCATTGTAGCTTTTATTTTCTGTGAGAGCCATAACATCTGCATTGGCTTTGGTAAAAACAGCTGTGCCCAAAGTGTTATTAGAATACAAATCATACATCTGAAAAAATAGATTTAACTGTGTGATCATGGTTAAGTTTACAATTATTAAACTTTTAAAAATTTTCAACATAAGAAAAAAAATATACAATTAATTTGATTAGATGATATTAGATAAATTTCATAATGAATTAAAATAATAAATAAAAAGTATATTTCTCAATACTGGAATGATATAAATTACCTGATAGTAAACTTCACAATTATCATCCTCGTTAACATCAAGATCAGTCCAGTATGCAGCCAACACATTGTGCTGATTTAAGTTTGTGTCTAACACTGGCAACTTTTGTGGATTAAAACTGGAATACTCTTCATCAAAGCTTATAAGGCCATTAACTGTTATCTGTTTAAAAAAATAATTTAACAGAAACCCATATAGCATAAAAAGGGTGAAGATATTGACTGACATGAATAAGTAATGTCTGAATGAGTAAAATATATATTTCAATTGATAATAATAATATAATAATAATATAATAATTTCATTAAACTTACATACCCAAACAGAGCTAATTAACTTTAGCTGATATGGGATGAAATCTTCAATGTATAAGTTAGCTGATGCCAGTTCTTTATTTTTTGGCAATGATTGATCCTTTTGGACACGACCATAGGGATAGATACCTAATTTAAAGTTATGAATAGAAGAAAAATATGATGTTTTTAGACACTTTATCATAGCAATTCGAGGCATATTGTATAACTACCAAGAAAATATTGAATTGCCTGTCCATGATAACTAGTGTTTTATGTTTGGAGATTTCAACAGACGTTATGTCTGGATGATAATAGTTTCATTAGTAAAAAAAATCTTTACTTTTGATAATTTGTTCAAACTGTAATAAGAGGTTTTACTTACATGAATCATTAAATCTAAAAACAAAAAAAAAAAAACAATTGTAAATGCACCTAAATAATGACCAGTGTTGTTTTTGATTTTTAAAATACGTTTCAATACATTTTTTATCCCTTTGTAGAAATTTGTTTTTATTTTGATTGTTGTTATTAAGCAACACACGTAATGTTTATCTTACCTACAGATCCATTTATCAGCTGTTTCATCAAAGCAAACTTCTGCTTCTGTACAATTAGGACATAAAGCTAGGAAAAAAAGTAAATAAAAAGTATAAAATGTGGGCAGTTAACATTATATGTTATTAAAATAAATTTTTAAATTGTATGAACTGTGTTATTTTGTCTACATTTTTATCCCTCTGAAATATTAATTAGTTTACTAGTTTACTTATCACACTATTTGTAAATACTATACTTTAATATGCAGAGATAACTAAAACAAGTGAATTCTACTTCACCTTGCCTATGTTTGATAAGGTTAGAGAGTGTGCTTTACTTCTTAACATAGGAGTGCATCTTTACCTTGACATTTTCCACTGGAAAGCTTTCGATAACCATTATCACATCTACATTCTGCAGACCCATTTAAATTAAAACAGCTTGCATGTACTTCAGTGCAATAATTTATATTATCACATTCATTTATATCTTTTTCACAATTGGTTCCATTCCATCCAGGAGAACATAAACAAGCACCAGATCTTCCATTACAATATATGGTGTTTTCCATGACACAGACACATTTCAAAGAACAATCCAAGCCATAGTGTGTTTTGTTGCATACTTTTGGAGAATAGAAAAGACATACTTATTTTTCTTAATTTTACATTTTTAAAAAAATTTTTAGTCTTTTCTATCCGATAAAAATTTACCAAATACAAGATTAAATATGTATCATAATAAACATAAATAGATTGTTTAAAACATACAGGTAATTGACTAAAAATAATTGTTAATTAAAAAAAATATTTGATTAAAGCTATTAAAAAACCAATGAGAATGCATATATAACTACATTTTCAAAGCTTAGTAGTAAATGTATTTACATAAATTCATCAGAATATCATTTATTTTCTACAATTGAGATTACATAACAGAATATACATGATCTGAAAATATTAGCTAATTATAGTTTACCTTGACAAGTTCCATTATTTTTTTCATAGCCAGGCAAACATTTGCACTCAGCAGACCCATTTAAATTGTAACATTTTTCATGAAAACCGACACAGTAGCTGGTACTCAAGCATTCATTGATATCTGTATCACATTTTGTACCAGTCCATCCTGATGCACACAGACATGACCCTGTTGTGTCATTACAGTCTATTGTGTTGTTCATGACACAAGAACACTTGTTCCCACAGTAGAAGCCATATGATGTTGTGTTACATGCTATTATAAAGAAACAAGTTACACTTTAACAGAGGCGTAGCGACCCTTCCCGGCGCCCGGGGACAAATTTTTTTATTTGCACCCCCACCCCCCCCCCCCCTCAAGATTTTGATTTGCGTCCCCCTCAAACTTTTGATTTGCACCCCCCTCCTCAAGATTTCGATTTGCACCCCCCCTCAAACTTTCAATTTGCACCCCCCTCAACCTTTCAATTTATTATTCCAACCCATTTTGAAGAAATATAGATCTAAAATAATTTGTGGAAAACCTATGAAAGATTGTTTAGAAAGTTTTTTAATATTATATTATTTGAGCTATGTCACTAATATTTAAACTGTCAATAGATACATTTTTTTTTTAAATTGATGATTCGAACAATTTTAGATAAAATTGTTATGCATGTAAAAAAAAATTAGTTTCTTAAAAAGAAAAAAATTATAATAAACGTAGCAATGAAAAATATCACTTTTATAAACTTCTATAATAAGAAATAAGTTACCTTGACAAACACCAGTTCTGTTATCAAATCCTAGTTCACATCGACATTCAGCTGAGCCTTGCAAGTTGTTACATTCTTCATGTACACCAAGACAGTAGCTTTTATTTAGACATTCATTTATATCTAACTCACAGTTTGTACCATTCCAGCCACTTTTACATAAACAAGCTCCAGATGTATCATTACAATCAGCTGTGTTGTTGAAAACACAAGTACATTTGCTTTTGCAGTTTGGGCCATATGATGATGCACTACAAGCTGTAAACAATATAAATGACTTATTATTAAACAAAGCATTCTGATATTAAAACTATGTACCTAAATTTAAAAATTATGAATTATATAAAATTAATAACATACAGTATTAAAATATGGATGCTAAAAAAAGCTTTCATTGCATTAATGAAAAAATATATGAAGAAATAATAATAAACAGTTTAATCTGACTTTACCAATATATTGTTATATAAAATTATAAACCTATACTGTGAAAATTAAGAAAATTAGAAAAATTTACTTTGATTGCAGGATGCGCCACTCCATCCAGCTATACATGAGCAAGACCCATTTACATTGTCACAGTCTATTGTTTTGCTCATGTTACAAATGCATTGGTTGATATATATATATATATATATATATATATATATATATATATATATATATATATATATATATATATATATATATATATATAATACCAATTGGTGCAAAAAACTAAAACAAAGTCAAAACAACTAAAAAGCAATACCTTCACAACTGTAGTTAAATAAGGATCTTTGAAACCCAAAGTCACATAGACATTCAGCAGATCCATTCAAGTTAAAACAGATTTCATTAGCTTCAAGACAGTAGTTGATATTTAGACATTCATCCACATCTTCATCACAAGTGGTGCCATTCCAACCTGCTGCACACAAACATTCTCCTGTGGTGTCATTGCAATCAACTGTGTTGTTTAGGTGACAGATGCATGTGTTGGCACAGTTCAGACCATAGTGAGTAGCATTACATGCTTCAGGTGAAGTGGATGTGGGAACTTCTGTTGTTGGCGTAATAGATACAGTTGTACTGAATGTGGGAACGTAAGTTTTTTGCGCAGACGATTCAGGTGTAGTGGATGTGGGAACTTCTGTTGTTGGCATAGTTGATTCAGGTGTAGTGGATGTGGGAACTTCTGTTGTTGGCATAGTTGATTCAGGTGTAGTGGATGTGAGAACTTCTTTACTTTGAAAAGGTAATTCAGGTGTGCTGGATGTGTGAACTTCTGTTGTTGGCACGGTTGATTCAGATGTAGTGAATGTAAACAATTCTGTTGTTGGCACAGTTGATTCAGGTGTACGGGATATGTACACTTCTGTTGTTGGCACGGTTGATTCAGATGTAGTGAATGTAAACAATTCTGTTGTTGGCACAGTTGATTCAGGTGGAGCGTTTGTGTAAACTTCTGTTGTCTCCACTGTTGATTCAAGTGTGCTTGATGTATACACTTCCAATGTTGAGACAGGTAATATAGTTGTACTAGATGTGTACAAGTCTGCTGTTAGTACAGGTGATTCTGTTGTAATGGATGTGTAAACTCCTGTTGTTTGTACAGATGATTCAGGTGTGCTTGACATATAAACGTCTGATGTTAGCACAGATGAGTCTAATGTTCTAAATGTGGAAGTTTTTAATGTTGATTGCATAGTCAAAAAAGTCGCAGAGCTTTCAGAATTCGTGCTTGTTTGATACTTGGCAGTTGTTGCGATTGCAAATGTAGAGCCGCTTATTGAAACATCGGTTGTTGTGACCACTTCTGTTGTTAAAGCTGAAGATGCGGCAATTGTTGCTAAAAAAGCAATTTCAGAAAATTAGAAAAAACAAGTAGTTGCATGTGGTATATTGTGCTTAACTGCATTTAATGCCCAGCAGTATATTATTATCAACAGAATAACTTTTAAAAAATGTGAACTTATTGTAAAGAATAATGATATTCAAAGTAAGTTTTAAGTAGAGATAGAAGTAAATAAATAAATGAATTAATATTCGGATAGACGATTGAATGATTGTATCTCGGAAAACAAGGCACATACACTGAGCAACAGGTTGAGAAAATCATTATCTTGCCCATGTTACATGTTCTCACACCTCACAGCTGATAGGCCATAAGGTGAGGCATTACCTTACACCAACCGTGTCGCAGCTGCCAAAAATAAACCCGAGGCTCCACTACTGCTTTCGGAATTAGTGGCTTGTTGGCTTGTACTTCCCAGCTAACAAGCCTCACACTGTGGAGTGTGCAGGCTAGCAATCACTGGCTTTCTCACCCAAGCAATCCAACACCTAGATATGTAAGTTTAACACCATACCAGTCACTGCCGCGACACTTCATTTACCATTATGTACTATTACATGTACTATTACATTGGGTTATTTTTAATTCCAATTCATATTCGCTAATAGTGTTTTAAAGTTACCGTCAGCATAAAATCTATCGATATTTAGGTCATTCTATACAATATATATATATATATATATATATATATATATATATATATATATATATATATATATATATATATATATATATATGTATATATTTATATATATATATATTTATATATATATATATATATATGTATATATATATGTATATATATATGTATATATATATATATATATATATGTATATATATATATATAAATATATATATATATATATATATATATATATATATATATATATATATATATATATATATATATATATATATATATATATATATATATATATATATATATATATATATATATATATATATATATATATATATATATATATATATATATATATATATATGTATGTATATATATTCCCCAATTTTTTTATGAATATAGTGCGTTTTAATACCAAGTGTAGTCTCATTCAAGATTCGATAATTCAAAAAATAAACCGGGAGTGATCTCCCCTAAACATTCTCGAATATTCTAATGTAACACTACGAAGGATGGCAACTCGGGACATAGACAATATTTTTAATCCATTTTTAATTACTTAAACTTATTATAATACAATAGAATCTCGAAAAAAAAGAATTGCATTCCAACTGAACTCCAAATAAAGATGTGCATAGTAGTGCGGGATATTATTAGTACTTAATAAATTCACATGCGTTTTTTTTTTGAGAAATTAAAAATAGCGTAAATCACTTCTTCCGGTCGACGGAAATTACTAAAAATTTGATAGAAAGCAAAAAATTAGAAATTTTACTTACATGTGAAATTTCATTCATCTATCTGAAATAGTACTTAAGTTATTAAGCACTTAATAAAAAGTAGTAAAAGTCCCACTTCCGGTTATCGGAAATCGCTCACAAAGTGATACGGATCTACGATTTTGATATAATACTTAATTATGAAATTTCATCAACCTAGCTGTAACGGTACTCAAGTTATCGTGTTTACACACACACACAGACAGACACACATACACACAGACATACGGACAAGATTACAAAACTATGTTTTCCGACTCAGGGAGCCATAAAACGATTACAAGACTTTCTCTATACTTGTATATACAAGAAAGTAAAAAGTGTTATAAAGTCGTGTTCATTGAGGCATATAATATCATGTGGCGAGATTGCGCCGCTTTGCTAAAACTAACTTATCGCTTGTGTGCTTTTGTCTCGTCGTCTAAATGGCCGCTAGACTCCGTGCTGAGAGGCCCGTGAACGTTTTGTCATTTTGCAACTCGTGACCGTTTCGGTTTCAACAATAATATTGAAAGGGGAAAACGTGTGAAGCGATTTTTCCCGTTGACATTCAATTTTTCTTTTTTACATGCTGTGTCTTTATGTCTTAAATTGCGGGTAGTTAAAATTCTTTTTACTTTAAATTCGATTCAACAAAAGTTACATTGTCGAGCCTGGCGATCAAAGGGCAGTTTCTTCCAGGCATCTTTTCGGGGACACCCCCCCCCCCGAACGAAATGAATTTATATGGAAAATATATACTTTTGACAGTGTCCGTTTCCCTGAAAATTGTTGTCAGCCCCCCCCCCCCCCCCCCCCCCCGAAAATTTCAAGTGCACTTACGGAGAAAAAAGTCTGGAAGAAACACTGTCAAAGGGGCGATGTTATGTTAACCTATTTGTGTGATCTCAGCATAAGAAAAGTGAGTTTAGTCAGCACAATGCCCAGCCCACTTTTACTTTCTCTTTACGTGAGTCAGGTGCCTATACATGTTCGATTACGAGATTTGTGTGTTAACAGTCGTGTGCTTTAATATCAGATCACGCTGTCCCATACAAAAATATAGAATGGTTATTTACTTTGAGAACAGGAAAGTAGGCCTATGTATGGTTCGTATGAAGTTTTGCGAGTTGAACGAGGCTAATGGTACGATCAGATTGCCATGTCTACGAAAGGTTTACGCCTAGATTTGATAAGTCTGTGTAGGTTTTATGATCCTACGACGTCATTGTTGTGTTCCTTAAAATAGTTCATTCAATGTTTATAGCAGATTTAAGCAAGTAGATCTTTGTATTTGTCTTGTATGTTTAAACATTTTATACAGTGTTTCTTCCAGACTTTTTTCTCCAGGGGGGGGTGGGGGGACGGGGGGGGACGGACAGACACTGTTAAATGTATATATTTTCTACATAAATTCCATTTCGTAGAGGGGGGGCGGTAAACTTTCATCGGGGGGGGGGGGGGGGGGGCTCAGCTCCCCCCGACGGAAGAAACTATGTTTATATATATATATATATATATATATATAATATATATATATATATATATATATATATATATATATATATATATATATATACAGAAGGAGAGAGAGAGTGTGGGGAATAGAGAGAGAGAGAGAGAGAGTTGAGATATATGTGTATGTAATTATATTAAGTACAAAGACAGTAGTTATTATATAATTACCTGCTAACTTGATCTCGCTATGTTATTGTCTTTAAAAAATTACGGTTTAGCTAAACTAGACCACTACGTGTTAATAAGTATACAATAAATAAGAAATGAAAACTACCTGCTTTTGTTTCGCTTACAGCCAGGGTAAACAGTATGTACACATAAATAAAACGTATGTTGAATTCTTTCTCCATTTGTGTGTAGATATTCTAACTTATATCGGCTTTCGTGATACCACACAAATAAATAGATTGTAGAAAAAACGATGTATATCCATAAACTAGATGTGAAAGACAGATCCTAGCAAACAAGCTAAACTTTGTGTGAATCTACTGTCTCGCGCTTTGTATAATATAAAATAAGTATATATAGTTATATATATCTATAATGTGACTTAGTTCTCATGGCCAGCCAAGCGTGAAGCTTCCAGAGAGATCAGATATCACACACTATTTTAGAGAAAGGCTTACGAAATACAACGTAATAGAGAACTGTGGCACCATTACTCTGATCGCTCGAATGGCTGTAAAACCGGTTGTTGATATTTCAATGGAATGCAATATTCTATTGCAGTCCTTACAATAACAAAATGGATTATCTTGATAGATAGTCTTAACATAAAGATAAATATAATTAATCCTCTTCAGGATCTAGCGATGCATTGGGCAGGTAAAGTAGAGTTCATATGTTTCTTGACCTCGACGTATGATGAAAAAGTGTGGTCAGCACTTTGCCCCAGCCGCCTTTACTTTTTTCTTCTTCTTCTTCTTCGTTGTTTATTATTAGTGTTGAAGGGGATCGAGATGTATCTGCCAGTGGGTTTGAACTTGAGACTTTGTTCGAATTTATCAACCATGTGCTTTTTGCTGACTCGACCATGCCTCCAACACAATTAAGCATAACGTGTCAACTGGTTATGCGCCATTGAGGCCATTGACTCCGATTTCAGCCTGCTTTTCTTTTTGGATTTGCTTCCATAGCCTTTGTCCAACAAGAACAAACTACAAGGCAGCAGTTGTTTAATTTTGGAGTTGTCTCTCCTAGAAGAGTGGCATGTCGCCAGCTAACGAGCCTCATCTGCCCGAGGTTTTGAACTCGAGACTTTTCGGTTTAGCAACCATGAGCTTTACCGCCTCGACCACGCCGACCCCCTTTACTTTCACTAACGTGAGTTAGGTACCCATCAAGGACGTTCTACTGACTTAAACCCGGATTCGAACTCGAATCTTTAAGGTTAGCAGCCTTAGCCTTCTACCGCTTAGGCCAAGACGTCCAATCCAATCTAACCTACCCAGTATTAGTGCCCCCCCCCCCCCCCGCGGAGAAAGAAGTCTGGAAGAAACACTGCTAGCCCAGGAGTCAGCAACCTTTTGATAAGCAAGAGCCAAAAGTTACAACAAAATTTCCCAATTTTAAAGAGCCACAATTTTTAATTCAATATTTTGGTATTTGATTAGGATTAGGTAAATAAATTTGATTTGTTATTTAAAATATGAAATAATATTTATTCATATAAAACATAGACACCTA